TTTCTCAAAGGTTCAAGATGAGAAATCATGTTGATATATACATGTTTGAGGAGTCTTAAGATATCCTCAGGTACTGAAAAGTCATAATTGTTCACTCACCAACTCTGTACCATTGGGTTGCTAATTATTTTATAAATACATACTTTTGACTCAAAACAACTTCTTATGGAGTTATGTTATTCTTCAAACTAAAGAAATATGACTAAGAATCCTTACAGGAACATCTCTTATTTCTCTTTACATCTAGAAATATGGGCAGAGACCTGTGCAGTGCCCAGTAGTGCACAGCAGCGTCACATAGTTCCCTTTTTGTGAAGATAGATTTAGTCCTTACTACAATGAAAGTGTAACAAATGCAATGGTAACCTTTTTTATCTTGGTACTCTTTCATTGTATAACCTGTTAACCATCACTCTAATAAGTAGAGAACAAATAGACAAGCCGTGTTTCAGGGTAGAGTTTTATGATGGAGAAATACACTTTTTTTTCATTATTTGTGTAATGCTTCTCTCTTGTGCCCGCAGGTGGTTGTCAGCGTTTGCTAGTCTGTTGATCAAGTTCCAGTTCCCGTTGTGCATCTTGTACTGCAAAGGGGAAGGGAAATTAATCTATTATTGATCAGGATCCAATTCCTGTTGCGTTTCTTGTACTGGAGAGGGAAAGGGGCATTAATCCATTATGGGTTCAAAATCCAAACCATCTGCAGGTTGCACCTGGAAAAAGTGGGATTTATTCCATTAGATAGTTTGTATTTGTAAGGTCTTTTTTTTTTCCCTCAAGCAGTCTTGAGATGCTGTGTGTTTGTCATTTCTCCTCTTTCTCATATTCCGTGTTACACAGGCAGAGATTGCACATTCTTAATGCCGTAATGTTGAACTATTTATATGTAATATTTTTGCTATTTGTATTGGACTCTTATCTCCTATTCCGCACTTTTCCTAATATAGGAATCCATAATTCGGTAACATGAAGCTCTGCATGTATCCTGCATAGTAATTGCAAAGACATTTCTGCATACCCTGCAAGTCTGAAAGTCTGTGGGAAGTTTATGGTGAAGGTTTTCTAATCTATTTCTCTGAGGATAACTTACAAATGGTTTCAAAGTTCTGTTAAAGTGTTCCATCTCCCCATTAATTTGAGGGTAGTATACTGGTGATCTTTTCTGTGATGTGTTTTTCTCACATAGACAAATTTCTAATATGAAGAAGTAAATAAATTTTTGGATACTGATTCCTGTGGGATTCTTTATTAGGGCTGGTTTGCACTGTATCTCTCTAAGGTGAATTTGAGCATCCATTGAAGTAATACTCGTAATATTCTGCTCTGCAAACACAGATATAGATAAATTCTGCATGCCATAATGTAAAACTTGGGAAAGAACTGAATGTTTATACATTTTGGAAGGGGAAAGTACCTTCTGTATCTTCAGCCATATGGTTTGAGTGAGATTTCATCTCTGTTGGGAAAATTAAGCACCCAAATGGTGCTGATCAAGTCTGTGATCTTTAAAAACTCTAAATTACAATATTTAAAATTCCTTTTACCTTACCTGGCAATATATGTAGAGAGATAAAAACACTGTCATTTCCAAGATTACAGGGCAGTCTACGTAATTACTGTATTTAAATAACAGATTAAAAATTCTACAGCTTGCCAGGATTAGAAAATTGGTGTTATCGACCCCTGGGGACAGGTTTCCTTCTCGGTCAGACGGGAGGGGAGAAGGGGGAAAAGCTGTGTGATCCGAGATCGGCGTTGTGCAGTGATACACAGCCACTGGTGATAAAACCAAACAGACCGTGCAAGAGGTGTTCACTCTTTCTTTTTCTCTCTTCCCTCAATATATCTCTGCTTCGTGCAGAATTGCCAGGTTCTTGTATTCCACAGTAGAGTGGAGTTTCTGTTCAGAGGGGCAGAAAAAAACCTCACATCTCCTCTTTGCTGTTTTCTGTGGTTTTGGCTCTTTTTTTTCCCTCTTTTTTAACATGTCTAATATAGAAAAAATAATACTGATGCCAATTTACCTTAATATTTTGGGTGGTGAATGGCAGCAGTTCACAAAATGCTTCATAATTAAGGCAGTGTCTAATGAGAAAAGTTGTTTTCTACAAACTCTTTTTTCCCCTCTTTCTTAACATGTCTAATATAGAAAAAAATAATACTGATGCCAATTTACCTTAATATTTTGGGTGGTGAATGGCAGCAGTTCACAAAATGCTTCATAATTAAGGCAGTGTCTAATGAGAAAAGTTGTTTTCTACAAAGGATTTTAAAAGAAAATGTCTGTTTACTAACAAATTCTGCATTGCATTTTAGCGTAGCACCAGTGAAGTAAAATCATGTCAGCGTGCTGCATGAGGGGTAGGGGAGGGATGGAGTGGCTTTAGTGACAGGTAGGATAAGAAACTTGGAAAGTCTGGGTAGTTTTTCATTATCTGATTGTTTGAATAGCTCTCTGCCTTCCACAGCCAGGCTGAAGTCTGGTTTGCTGCGTCATATCATCAAAACAAAATCACAGTGTTACTCCTTATCTAGATTAGAAGCCTGGCTACTCTAGTAATATTTCTATTTCTTATAAAAAGATGAAGTTCTGAAAGGATGGGGTGGACATACAGATCCCACATGACAGCCCTGCTGAGATTTTTTTACTTTAAAGTAAAACTAAATTCCTTCTTGGATATTTCGAGCAGCCACAAAGCAAAGTTGCAAACTACACCCTGCAAAAGGAACCAGGGGAATGTCTTTGAGTTTTGTTTGGCAAACTCAAAGAGTTGAGAGTGGATTACGGCAAATGTTGTCTTTGTGCTGCAAAGGGAAACTTTGAATGTCTTTGAATACGAAATAGCGATACGTATGCTGTCTACGTATTGTTCAGCTAATACTTTGGAATGTTGTTGTTTTCTAGATACACTCGTTATATCCACAGCTGACCCTTGCAGGGATATTACTTGGAATCCAAGCCCTAACCGTTTTGATGAGCCCTCTGTATCATGTCTGTGTTAGTTCACCCACTCAAAGTCTTTGTCAACAGCCTGCTTTTAATAGATTTGTTTCAGGGACGGTATGAAATGAAAATAAGCGCTTACTGTGTTTACATTCTTGTTACGATTAGTAATGAAGTCCAAAAAGTTCTTGTGTTTTGCTGGTTGCAGGCGCAGGAACGTGCACTTTTATTACCCTGCTTATCTGCTGGCTGCACAAAGAGCCGTTTGCGGGTGCTGAGCTCCTAGAGGTTCCAACAAAGCTGGCTTCTGTTCTTCGGCTGGTTTCAGTGGGGTTGAGCAGTTCTTCAGGGGAGCTGATAATTCGAACAAGTGGTTTTCCTCTTTTACAGATGAAGATAAGAAACGATTATTGCCAAATCAGTAACTTCTTTGTTGATCTTTTAGCATTTACTGTTGTAAACCTTCATCTTGCGCTGAAGCAGTGGTGAAGTAATACCGAGGTTATTCCTTCTCATCAGTAACAAGCTACTAATCCGATGGCCGCTTGTTTTCTATTTTTTCAGTTACTATCTGGAAAATTCCTGCCATGAATACCTTTAAGACCACCGTGGAAAACTTCTTAGAAAAACAGATTTCCTACCTGATAGCATTGTATTTCCAGGAATGTTGTTGAGCAGAAGTAGGATCTACTAAAAGCTTGGTTTCTGAGATCCCTTGTGAGCTGTGTATGTACGCTGTGTCAGGTCAACAGAGCATATTTATAGGAAGAAATAAATGTGTTCTTACCACTTCCTTAAGTACCATTCTTAGATGCTTGAATGTATTCAGATATGCAAGTGGTATTCTTAAATATTAGAATTACACTGCATGCTTCTGTCTCCATTAGTACGCTATTTGCTATCAATTACAAAAATGTCAAAAGGTAAAAATTTGTCATTCGGGATTCAGAAATGTGCCAACCTTCTGAACTTTCTGAGCTCCACTACCAAAACTTTTTCTATCCAGCAAGTGAAAGTGAATGCCAAATGGCTTTTGGCATGCCGGGTACGAGCTAAGTGAAGAATCTTCTGTCCGTTTTCTATTCTTTAGGGAATTATCTTCAAAGAGAGCGTTCAGAGTTCATACCTTGCATTTGCCAGTTTCCCTTTCCTCTTAATGGGCATGGGATAGCCTCCTTTGCAGAAAACACTTGGTGAACTGGCTTGATTTTGCATCAGTTTAGCTTTATTTTCATTACTTTTCCCTATAATTCGTTTATTGGATTCTGTATCTTTAGAAAATTGTATTACTCTGTTATTCAAGTTAAAAAATAGCTAATTTTTCTTTCCCAAATGAGTTGCTTGAAGCAAAGTACCTATGAATACATGGGTATTTTAATTTACTTACTAAATGTATACAGAGAAAATTTACAAGCAGCCTTTTTACCATTTTTAAGTGTCTGCTGACTGTTGCATAAGCTAAATTATTTACAGTATGATGCCTCACAAAAGAGTAGCAGATTTGGGTTATTTACTTTCCTGATAAGAAAAAGGGATTGAAGTTGCTGTGATATGCTGCTTTGTTAATTTTATATTTGTTCCCCAGTGTGTAAAATCTTTTTAAAGAACTAACATGAGTATTGGCAGGCTCTTTTGAAATGGTATGGAAGTGGTGAGATTAAACAAAACATGAAAAGGTCTTAAAAATATAAGTCAGCAAGTGTTTGATAAAAATAAAAGTGTTCGGCAATAGAAAACCTTTAGGATGGTTAATTTATTTGCGCTCTATTTGAACATGGCCCCAGCACTCCATCTGGGAGTAGTTCTTGGGAGTTACGTGTTTTGAGCGATACCAAGCTGGGTCTATTGAAACAGTGTGTTTGTAGAGGATAATGAAAGCCATCAAAAATGGCCCTGCTGAAGATCTCCCCTTAATGAGGAGATTAAAATCCACAGTGGTGTTGAAGAGTGAAATTTGCAGCTGTGTCGCAGGATGAGATCCTTTGCCCGGAACGTGTCAGTCCTTGCCGTTTGCAGATGTACCGAATCTTCACAAGTTTTCTTTCTGCCCATGCAGGTGCTGGAGACCTGTCTGACACCGCGGCTCCCGTCATCGTAATTCCTCCTCAGAATACCAGCGTGGTAGCAGGGAGCAGCGAAGTCACTCTGGAGTGTGTGGCCAGTGCAAGGTATTGTGAAAGCCGCGAGGTTCTAGGGAACTGATTTTAATGCACTGTCCTTTGCTGAGAAGGACACAGGAAGATATTTTCATTTTTTTTTTTTTATTATCTTGATGATTGAAGCAGAACGTGGCATGTGGCTTGCTCTTCAAAGTAACCTTATGAATAATCTTGTTTGTCCAGCGTTACTGGATTAAACGTATTGATTTTTCTGGCCAAATAAGGATATAGGCAGAGTCACTTTCCCACCTGTGGCACAGTGAGGAGAAGAGGTATGGTGGTGTTCCATCAACAGGCGTTATCTTAAGGAAAAAGTTATGTTCAGGGTTAATAATATTTCAGCTGCATTGCCTATGGACATGAAAGGGGATATTGTTGAACAGTCTGTGCTTCCTAATAAATCAATTAGTGAGGATCTCCTATGAACTGATTTATTACAGATGCTCTCGTTTTGCAGAGATTATTGCTCAACTGTTCACAGTACACCACAATACAGAGTGCACAGCATTCCTCCTGTGTTGCCATCTAGTTGGGCTGGAATAGCTTTGAATTCCAGTGGAAGTAAAGAGCTGAGGTCCTCAGACCAACTGGTTCACTTTCCTCTCTGAGGGCAGAGATGTTCTTGATATGAATCATAGAATCATAGAATCATAGAATCATAGAATGACCCGGGTTGGAAGGGACCTCAAGGATCATGTAGTTCCAACCCCCCTGCCTGGCAGGGCCACCAAACATACACATTTACTAGATCAGGTTGCCCAGGGCCCCGTCCAACCTGGCCTTGAACACCTCCAAGGACGGGGCATCCACAACCTCCCTGGGCAGCCTGTTCCAGGGCCTAACCACTCTCCTAGTAAAGAACTTCCCCCTAACATCCAACCTAAATCTTCCCTCCTTCAACTTGTATCCATTTCCCCTAGTCCTGCTATTGTCGGCCCTTTCAAAGAGTTTACTCCCCTCCTGGGTGTAGATTCCCTTCAGGTATTGAAAGGCTGCAATGAGGTCACCCCGCAGCCTTCTCTTCCCCAGGCTGAACAAGCCTAACTCCCTCAGCCTGTCCTCATAGGGGAGGTGCTCCAGCCCCCTGATCATCTTCGTGGTTAATATTGTTTTGGGAATTGAGTTGTAATGACGGCATTGCTCATGTAGCAGATTCCCACAGCAGTATTTCCTCCTTTTGCTTAGAGAAATCAAATTATTAGCACTTCAGTTCTATTGCTGTATCAGTTAACTGTACTTGCATAATGCCACTTGAGTAGTCTGTAGTCTTGGTGTGTAGAAGTTACACATGCATTTAATTCTTGATAGTGAATGTCAGGGAGAGAGAAAGACTTGGAGAAGATTTATGATGTATATATAACTGCAGACAGTTATTCTGTGATATATATGTTTTATTGTTGTATTTTTATATTTTTTTTTAAACCTTGGCAGACCTCTTGAGAGACTAAGTGTGACCTGGAAGAGAAATGGAGTAAAAATAACCAGTGGCATTAGCAGTTTTGGGAGACGACTCACTGTCACCAACCCAACCTCTGCCGATGTGGGGATGTACGTCTGTGAAGCCAAATTGAGAGACAGCACAGAGGAACCAGCAAGAGCAAAAGCCTTCCTTTCTATAACAGGTAATTCTCAAGGCTGTGTGTTTTTTAGTAAAACAGGCTCTGGACTGAGGTATAATAGGAAATAAAATTGATATTTTAATATTTCATTGACCTTACATTTGAACCTTTCTTCGGAGACCAGAACAAAGGAGGTGAAAGAGGGTTATCTTCCAAATTAATTCAGCTGTTCTTCCCCATGAATATAAATTCATCAAATAGATATTTTTTTTTTAAACACTGATGTGATTCTGAATCTCCTGTGAAACTATACATTTAATCAGAAGCTGGGGAAATACAGTAGTAAAATCCTTATTGGGCAGCTTCCACATCTTGGCTTTTAGGTGCATTAAATCCTGATTAACTCCCAGCTTGCTTACATCCAGTTTTAATATGTCAAGTGCCTGTATTTCCAAAAGAAGCCTTTTAGAAGCACTTCTGTGCGTTGTCTGCAGCAAGGGCCGGTCAGAGGACCAAGGACATTCCTGAGCACACAGGCAGGCAGATATCATTGCGGAGGTAACAAAAGGGAGAATGAAATATCATTAAAATCAAGGCTACGTGCTAGGGAGCTTTGAGTCCAAGGGAAGCTTTGGACTTAATATTTTTAAAGGGACAGCTGTGCTCTTCCACGGGTCTGTTTCCACCATCAGCTCTGTGCTGGAGCTTTGCTGTAGCAAGGAGGTTGTCACTGGGAGATGGTAGTTACTGACCATGCCATGTCCCGATAGAATAGCACAAATTGGCACGCTGCACACGGTAGGACGTTTAGAATAAAAGAGATGGTTTAGAACAGAGACTTTTAGATGTTTTAAACCAGAGCAGATTGTATAAAGTCTATTTTTGTGTAATAGTCCCAGTAAGAACTGTGCAGGTGTCCTGGACAGGTTATTCCTCTGGCAATGATAGAAGTCTCGGCGTCGATCAGAATTCATGCACACCCATGTCTGTAGTGCATTGAAGAGGGAATTCAGCACGTAATTCTGTACACTCTTTGAGGCTTTTGAAAGTACTATTTTAAAGACTCTGCTGTACGGTCTGTATTCTACCGAAGCAATTTATAGCAGTTCGTGCTAAATGAGAAAACAGCTCTTCCCTGCACAGAGCTCAGTTCCAGGTTCACTGGTAGCACTGTGCCTCTATTATATTGATTACCTACTGGATGAAGCTTGGTTCCAGTCTTTTTCTTCGTACTCTGTTTCTTAGAATTATTACCTCATGGCTTCCTTTCCCTGTAAGAAGCAGAGGTGGGTTTCACTTATTTATGGTTTTGGTTTAAACCCTTCCTTGTAAGATTTTATTGTGACTAGTTTAACTTTGCTGCTGTGCGGTCAGGTCCAGCCTAACGCAATACTTAGAGCAGCCTCTGGGTTAATGTAAAAGATTCTTAAATACAGTTACAATGAAACTGAGAAACAATTGTTAGGGAATCCTATTAAACTAGCAGTGCTGCCTTTCTTTAGTAGCATACCTGCTCTCTTATTTTCAGATGTTTTATTTATTTCGTATGCAGTTTTAGGGGGCTGTCAGGGAATGCCGTTATGAAAAGGTCTGTAGATGAGAACAAGCAGATGAAAGAAAGCAGAAACAAATTGGTTACCAATTACTTTTATTTCCTTCTGATGGAACAAGACACTTCAGTTGCAGGTGTTTACTCAGTGTGTCAGCAAAGCCTGATAGATTTCTTTATTTATGAGTTTCCTGAGCTGCAGGATGGATCTCTAATTCTGAACAGGAAGCCAAATCAAAGGATTAGTAGTTAATGCATAACTTATATTCAGCCTTAGAATTCTTGGATGGATCTGGCTGGCGTTTAATTAGTCAAGGGATGGGTTCTAGAGGAAAGTGCAGACTAGATTCAAACCTGAGGATTTTTGCAGTGTATCCCTCATAGTCTGTTGGAGTAGCGCTGACAGATAATCAAGTGTGCTTGTCCATCTGCGTGCATAAAATAATCGTAGTGTGTACACGTTGATAGTGACCTGATAATGAGCTGTACTTCTTGGGAGAGTAACACAGTGTGGACTTAATAAGGGGCCTGGACTAACAGAAAAAAGAAACTGTGTTAAAAGAAGAGGTTTGTTTTCAAAGTGATTGGGATAAATCTAATACAGACCCTCAGTAGTATGGTAATGAGAGCTTTTGTGGATTAATAGAGAAAAATATTTTTCTCTATTAGCAGGTAGAATTGGGGTAGTGATAAAAAGATGCATCAAAGATACCACAAATGCTGAGTTAATGGAAGCTTTTTTTGCAAATATATCAGTCCTTGCCTTTCCCAGCTAAGGGAAGTCACAATGTGAGTGTGGGCTCAGATGGTAGCAGGAGCTTTATTAGAAGGCAGCAGAACTTAGCACAAAGGCATGAACTCAGTTCAAATTATTATTTCGGACCTACAATATTATCTCTGAAGTTTTTTCTGAATGCTTTTGAGAGTATGTATCAGTTTGTAAATTAAAATCACAATAGTATTTGAAAAATCTGAATCTCTAATGTAATAAAGTAGTACTGCATAAGCAAGATGAAAATCCTCTAGTCTTGTGCTGCCCTGCAATTTGCTTCTGAATATGGCAGAGAGCTTTCTCACATCTTCGTATTGTTCCAGGAAAGATAAACTGAGGTGGTTCCAAACCTTGGTTTTATTAGCTGCAGTTGTTATAAATTTTTTAAGGGTAGCGTGTTCCTCAGTTGGCAAAGTAACAGTTTGGGAAAGATTTGTTGCAGATTAGATAAGAGTACATTTGTTTTATCACTAACGGTTTGAAGATTAAGTAATTTAAGAAGTCTTCTCATAACTGAAAACTGAGCTATTCTTAAATTCTTTCGCTCCAGTTCTGCAAGTTCTGTTAGCGACAAATTACAGTAGTCATTTTAAAAATATTGTTCTGTGGGAAATTATTAATTTTAGGAGCTTAAGAGTGTGAGGAATGAAACCCTTTCACTACGTGAAATCCATACTGCTCTTTAGATCAGATGCAGTCAGAAAGTAAAATCTGAACAAACTAAGGAGGCCAACAATTAGAAAGAATGACTTGCTATCATGAGGTGCTGAAGAACGAGTAGGATGGGATAAAGCAGAATCACAGCAGAGGGCTTCCCTTCTTTTTGAAGTGGTTTTGTGCCCAGAAGAACTATGTTAATAAGCGTATTATTCTCATCTTGGTATTTCCTAGAAAGAATTTTTCCATCCCAGCTGGATAGATTTCTTTCTGAGAAGCGTGGAGCAAGTGCGGAGACACAGAAGTGCCTCCCTTGTGCATTGCACGTTGTTAATGAATCTACATTAAATGTGTGTATCACTGCCAGAAACAAAGTTATTTTCCTCTCCAGCTCATACCTTGTGCTCAGATCACTGGAAACAAAAACTCTCGTGGCTCCAGCTCAGACACTTTGAAACACTACAAATGATGTCTTGCAGGCAAAGGAAAGAATTATTCCACGATGACTGTGTTCATGTCCTGCGCATAAGAAAAGAATACAAGTTTTCAAGAAAATAATATGAAATGTCTTTGGACTTGCCTAAACTACAGTTTGGGCTCAAAGCAGACAAATGCTGACGTTTTCTGATCTGGCCAGCCTCAGAGGTTCTTGAGATGGATGCAGACGTGTTGCCTTGGCCCCAAGTACACACAGGACCTATACCACCGTGAAGTAATGGGACTTTTGGGAAGTCCGGTTCTGTCTCTGGCATTCAGAAGAAGTTCCCCCTTCTTTCAGTGCCACCAGCAGATGTTTTCCCTGTGCTGCTATAAGGTTTTAGAATGCACAGACTGAACCCCGCAGTAGGGGTCTTAGCAAGAAACTAGGAGAACCTTTTCATCTCTGTTTTAACTTGATATTCATGCAAAGAAAAAAAATCCTGCTTCAGGGGGTGTGTTGGACTTGCATGCACAATGTGGATTCTCTCCCAGCGTGGATGGTCTGATCTACTGTCTGCAGTTATGGACTTTGTACCTACGAGGGGCTCTCAAGTTTCCCGTTCCCCTTTCTTTTCAGGGTATTCACCAAATAAATTCGTTTATGGTGATGCTAGGGAAAATCCTCCATGTTTAAGGCTCAATCTTCCTCTTAAATAGCGGGACCAAATTTCTGAGTAATGCAGGAGTTTCAGCTTTGGAGGAGCCCCTGGGGCTTTCTCTGTTCTTTCTGACTTTCACATATGTATCTAGGATTAGGTCACGCATCTCCAATGCAGCTTGAAGGGTACGTAACGGATGCTGACTGCTTTCTTTTGAATGTTAAAATCAGTGACCATGTAACTCTGCGTGGGGAAAGTCAGAACAGTATCAAATTTTGCAGGCTCCCAAGGGTTTTGCAGAGAGACGATCTTTTCAATGATGTCTGTAGTGCAAGAAAAAAAAACCCAAAACCCTCAACAACTATTTAAAGGATGCATTTATATTCAGATATTCTTTTTCCCCTTTGCTTGTTCTTGACCTTTGAGTTAAGATCAGTCAAACACTAACACAATATCCGAACATTCCAGTATCTGTTTCTTTCAGCCTAATATGAGATGTGACCTCTCATTGCATCGCACGCTGCGCTGCCAGCAAGGTGGACGCAGTCCTTTCCTATTCTAACTATTGTGATTCTATAATTTCAAAAAAATAATTTCCATGTCTGACCTGATACCAAGAGACTACTGTCATTCCTAGAAATTGCCATGTCTGGGGGCTTGGGTCTGGCGTGTTATATAGTTTGGAAGACATTGTGGCTTCACCACACATATTAAATTTCAACACATGATTATTGCCTGCAACAATAAATGTTCAAATTCATACTGTGTGATTCAAACTGAGCCTTATAAATATGTAATAGAGTCATATATACAGACAGACAGAATGCCCCTTGAGGATGTCATCTGACCCCTATAAATATTGCTGCATTTTTATAGCCTCTCTCTGACAGATATTCTCCAGGTGGTGTACGGCACCCAAATTCAGATACCCTGAATTTTTCACTTGCAATTTCTGCTGGGCCGGCAGACCCTCAGGCACACGCCTGATGTGCAGATGATGCGTATGACTCATCTGAAAAGCGGGCAGCCTGGATTTCAGTTGTCTAGCACCTGTAACTAGAGCTATTTCTTCCGCAGCCTGAGTTTTGCTGAAGCCATAGACCCTCCCTGCAGAGGACCTTTGGAGCATCCGTGTTGCTAGCATCAGACACGTGCATGTGGAAAAGCAGCACAGCCTGGGTGGAAATCACTGTTCTGTTTCCTTCAAAGTAACAAGAGTATACCTATGTGAATACTGCTGTGATTCACACCTTAAATCACCAAGACTAATTTTCCATGTGTATCAGACTTGCGATGCCACAGCACCATTGTCCATGGGGTATTCCAGATCTTCCAGAATTCCCTTGTGCGTTAGTCTTGTCTTCCCATCCAGGCTTATCTCTAACTCCAGGCAGCAGAAGCAGGTAGTTAATGATCAGTAAATTGTAGAGTTGCTTCTGGAAGGTTTCCCATGTCTGTGATTATCACACAAGAATAGGATCTGACCTCTCTAGGGGCAGTTGTTGCCGCAGCCTCTCGACCCTTCTGTGTCAATTGTAGCATTTGGCTGGGCTTCCAGCTGCAGGAATGGCCGTGAGAATAGTGTAAGGGAAAAGGTGGGTCTGGGCTTGATGAAGACTGGAAATCATAGCTGTTGGCACACCTACACCCTGAAGTCCTCTGGGAGATGTCTGTGGCCTTTAAATTGCATCGTTCTGCTGCTCCAGCTCTTTTTTTCTGTCTTGTCTGCTTCCATTTCTTTCTGCTTCTTAAAAAAAAAAAAAAAAAAAAAGGCTGATGTGAATCTTCCTTTTATAACATCACAGTCCCATTTGCAAAGTGACAGTTGTCACTGACTTGAAGTTCCTTGTCAGGTAATTCATTGCTCGATACGTGCTCACCTAAGCATCTCTTAATGTAATAAGTTTCTTCGAGGGTGGCATAACAGCCTGTGTGGGATTTCAAGGAAGGAGCACAGATTGTAGGAGAGGATTTTGGGAGAGGCACTGGGAAAGCAGACTGTATAAATATGTCAAGTGCAACTGCAGAAACTGTGGAGCAGCGGTACAGGAGCAGTGGTCAGGGAACCCCCACCGTCTCCCAGGTGACATTCAGCGCTTTGCAGCTGGACGGCGGGCCCGTGTGGAAGATAAATCTGCAGATTTATCACTGATGTGTGAATGTGTTGCTGATACAGGAGATGGTTTGAGAGCTGGTAGCTTCAGGTTGCCAAGGTAAGGTCAGAGTGCCTTATAAAAGGGAGGGTGGAAGATGTGCAGTCCCTAAAATGAGGAAAATACACTTGAACCTCCCTGACTGAAGAGACATCCGTAGAAGAAACACAAAGTTAGAAGCAAATGTCCGGGTGTGGGCGTATGTCTCTGGATGCTGCCTTGCTCCTACGCTGCTTTGACCACCTTTCACCTTTGCCTCGCCTCACCATCAAATTGCCATAGAATGAAAGGTTCAGATTTTCTTTTGAGAGATGGACAGCTGGACACTTACCTGCGTGTCCACAGACACTGTGCTAAAAGTTTGGAAATTAAAAAGATAAAATTCTGGAAAGTGGAGCGCAAGTGAAACATCAGACAAGGCTTGGGGGATGGTGTGAGAAGACAGTGTGCTCAGTTCAAACATGGACTAAGATGAATTGCAGAGGACTCAGCAACTCAGTTGATCAAACACGTCAAACAGTGTGCCATCAGTGAATTGCCATTAAACATTCAGCTTCTCAATTTGTTGTTTAGATTAACACATGAGATCATAGGCAATAAATCACCACTTATTATGCACGTTTATTAATAGCTTTATATTTGGGCAGTGAGGATCAATAATGTTAACATGTGTATATTATTAGAATATAATAAATCAGGTAGCTTGTTTTATTGGTTTTGCTGGGTAAATGAGTATTCCAGGCTGTTTTGTGACCTCACCTCCCCCTCTGCACAAGATTTTGAGGACTAATATTGATTGACTTTATTTGGAATGAATACAGAATTGTAATATCCACTGGTGCTCAAATGAGACCCCAGTTGTGTACACCCAAGCAAGTATTTTATTGTGGTTAGCGGGAAGGAGTGCTGGGAAATGGGGGTTTGGGTTCTGATCCCAGTGCTCATTGCTGTGTGCCTGCTGGCGTGTCGTGTCATCCCTGGGAAATGATTGCAACACTGTACTGCAGGTGGGAGCGGCAGAAATAAGATTTTGCAGGATAAAATGATGTGATTTTGGTTTTATGAAAATTCTAATGGCCTATCAATAATACAGACTGCACGTCTGGTTTTCAGACATGGTTGGTGAAGAGATTTGAGAGAAGGTCAGCTCATGACCTTGGATCTTGTTGGATGGGTTTTTTTTAAATATACTTGATTTCCTTAAAATGAAAATGCAAGTAACTTGTTCTCACGAGCTCCTTGCGTTGTCTTTTCTGTATTTTCTAAAACTTAACAGTGAGTTTGTCTGTGGTACAATAGTACTCTAGTTATATGTAAAATGCTTCTAAAAACAGTACTCGGATGATAATTGCATTGAACAGACTATGACAGTTTTTAGTTACCATCATAATTACTGCAACCTTAATGCCTGTGGGACTTTGACATGATGCTCTTCAATTTTATGCTGCATAGAGGAAAGAGCTACATGATATCATACTCTGCAATTTCTGGAATCTTGTCTTTGTTTAATTAAACGTCTAATATCTTTTCTTTAGTCCTAATGATAAAGTGTGGATCTTTATGATTATTGCTCTAACGTAAATTAAAGCATTAAATCTGTTTGCTTTCAAGAAATAAAACAGTTGAGAGGAATTTTTTTTAATTACGCTGCACTTATCCTCTAATGTCGGCTCTCTGACATGCTATGGCACTTTATTCGACATGCTTCATGCCTTGACGAGGTGGAATTTAGTTTAGATACTGAAGCAAACTATCCTATAAAACGCTATGTTGTAAATATAAACCTTTTTAAATCTCTTGGGAGGGCCTTTCTGAGCTGAGAATTAACATGTTCCATGATTCAGACCTATAAAATGAAAAGTAGCCACTGCTCTGAGTATTAATTTGCAGTGCAAACCCCTAAATCTTACCTTACATTGACTTGACTCTTTGGAATTCATACTCGGCGTAGCAAAAAATCCTTGGCTTTTTTATGATGCTTTTACTACCAAAAAAAAAAAAAAAAAGTGCCTTCAAATAGAGACAAACTTAGACAAGCTGGTAAATTTATAACATGATGTTAAATACAACGTGTGTGGAGAGGTTATGTGTTTAGTATCTTTAAACCAGCACCTACTTTTCATTTTGCTGTGGCTTTGTTTGTTTACTTCTGGTTCTTTTCCCCGTTCCACAGAACCACCGTACTTCACGGCTGAGCCCGAGAGCGTGATTTTGGCTGAAGTGGAGAAGGACGTGGACATCCTGTGCCAAGCGATGGGTGAGTGTGCAGATGTGTTCTAGCTTGGGTGAGCGATATATGTATATCCAGCACTGAAAAAAGCAGCTTATGTCAGCTTTTAATGTTTTGAGGCACCTGTGTTATTGCTCGTTATCACAGATCCCTGGAGGGGTTCAAGGCCAGGCTGGATGAGGCTTTGGGCAACCTGGGCTAGTGGGAGGGGTCCCTGCCCATGGCAGGGGGTGGCACTGGATGGGCTTTAAGGTCCTTTCCACCCCAAACCATTCTGTGATCCCAGGCACGAGGGAGAGGCCATCCTTTGCCCTTCAAAAATTGGGCAGTCCTTTAGTTTAGTTTAGACTTGAGTAATGCCAGCACATTCATGTTTGTCCGTTGGGCAGGGCAGCTCCTGCTCCTTTCCTTCTGGTAGCTTGCCTGTGCTTTGGAGTTGTTGCTGTATAACAGACATTAGTGTCTTGAGTCAGAAAATCAGTGGAGGTGAAAGTATGGCTGTGGAACCCGTCATTTAGAGTGCAAACAGTCAATATTTTCAACAATTCAAATGTCCTTTTTTCTAAAAATTGTGTAAGTCTTATATTGAATAGAAATGTCAGTGACTCTGACACCGAAGTGTAGTTAAGTGTTCTGCAGGAGGACTATTACAGGCAGTTTTTAATTGGCAGGTGCTTTAATAACATAAAAGGCTTCAAATGTCTAGAATTCCACCTGAACCAAGATGGTTTCTAAGACTTGGTTCCAGAGAAATAGAAGCACCACCTATTTTAGCACTCTGGTAAGACAGGAGGCATCATAGTCTTGTGATTAGAGCAGGTTTGTCTGTCACCAAACTGCTACACGACTTTGGCAAGTGACTGAGCTTTTTATTGTCTCACTTTCCCAGATGTGAGTTTAACAAGCAATGCACATAAAAATGCCCCAAGGTTCTTAGGTAAAAAGTGCACAACCTTGATTAAAAATAAAAAAAAAAACAAAACAAAACAAACACTCAAACCTAACTAACAACTTGTTTGGACGGGTTCTTTCTCCAGGTCAGAGCCAATAAAGACATTTTTTTATTGTGTGATTATATTATTTCCGCTATGATCTAAGCATTTTTTAATGTTCCTTGTAGGAAAGAGGCAACACTGCTTTTCTAGAAGGAAGCCTTGCAAATACATTACTGCGATAAGCGAGCACGTGTGCGAGCGTGCTCTGGTTGATGTAGAATTTCACAAGCCCTTGATGAGGTCTCTTACCAAAAGGCTCTTACAGAAATGAAGCTATCAGGTTATGAGAGACAAGGTCTTGTTGTTAATTAATAGCTTTTTAAACAAAACACAGCAGGACCTGCTGTCAGTGGAGTTCCCTGGGAATCTGTGGAGGAACCTGTGCTGTTCAACGTGCTCGTAAATGCCCTGGAAAAGAGGGTGAATAGTAAGATGATGATATTTGCTCATTATATAAAATTATTCAAGAGTCAACGTTAAAACTGACCACAAATGAGTTGCAGAAGGTTCTGATGATTTGAACTGACTCGACAATAAACTGGCAGATTAAATTATTGACAGAGATGAAATTACCCATTGCTATGCAGAAAAGTACGTCTTCTGAAAACACCAGTTCAGTGCCAAGCCGTGGTTCAAAGTGTTAGGTACTAGGAAGACAGGAATAGAGAAAAAATAAGAGAATGCCACTGTATGAACCCATGGGGCAGCACCCCCACCTCAAATACTGCTCACAGGTCTGCTCACCCTATTGGAGAGAGGGGTGTAGAAAAACTAGAAGAGCTACATAAAAGTAGGAGTGGTATAATTAGAGGTCTGCCATGGTTTTTGAATAATGAAAAATCAAATTGATGGAGTACTTTGTGAAACAGGACTGCAGGGTGAGTGCCATATGGGAAGGTGGCTAGGGGAAGGTGGTTCTGTATCTCAGTGCAGGAAGCAGAGGAGGCATCCAGGTAAATTTTCATGTAGGAGATGTACGATAAAGGAAATATAGTACTTTTTGAGAAATCATAAACTGTGGAGGTCACTGGTCCAAGCAGTAGTTAAGATCAGAAATAAAAAATATTTAGAAAAACAAAATATATGGATGAAAAATCCAGAAAGGACTATTACGTATAGCCATGTGTATGCAGCCTCTGGCTCAGGAAATAGCTAAGGCACAGATTACTGGAGCTGAGAAGGTGGAAATAGCATTTTGTCCTTGGGCTGTTCTTGCGTTTTGTGCCTGAGCATCCAAGACAAGACAATTTCAAGGAAGGAAAAGTGACGAGACAGACATTTATTTGGCCACATGCCACCAACTTTGTTTCAGCATGCAATACGACAAACATTGGCATTTTTTTATTGGAAAAGATTTTTCAAGTAGCAGAATTAAAACTAAGTTTTGTATCATTAGAGAAATTGAGTTTAAAAACATTCTGAGATTAAAAAAAAAAAAATTCAGTCCTGCACAACTATTTGATGAATTTCTGGACTATCTCACTATTTCACTGTCACTGAAAAAGCTTATCTGTTGTCTCAGATTTTTTTCGTCTGTTACAAAAAAACCCAAAAACCAAACAAAAAAGCAAAACATCAAAACCTGAAGGAATCAGGGAGAGAAGAAGTTGACTTCTAACTCATTCTTCTACCAAAGCTCTTCCTTTGAGCAGTTTAGCTCCCAAGGGGATTAATAGGGCACTCACTCATAACGGTTCTTGGTAGATGAAGTCTTCTTGGAGACATGGGAACCCTTACCAGACAAAACTCTTTATTTCTGCTGAACTCTTCTAGTGCACATCTGATTTGCTGATGAATATTATGCAGGAGCATGGAAACCTGTCTTCACGTGGATTATTTTGCTGAGTATCTATAACACAGACTTGCAAGGGGCAGGTGCTGGTATTAAACACAGAGAAGTTTTGATGCATTATTACAAAATCTGGCAATTGCCAGCATTGAAGAAGAGGGTAAATGAAGGCTGCTGTCTGCCTGCTCCGAGCTAGGAGCTGGAATAGAGCTTTGGGGGAACAGCAAAGCTGCCCCGTGCCTTTGCTATAAAGAGGAAGGACAGATTGCATTTCCTCCAGCCCCATCAAGTTCTGTGCACAAAGCCCGCTTGCCAAGTCCTGGTGCACTTTGGATGTGTGGGAGACAGATTAATTTCACAGTATAAGCAGAGATTAACTGTAAATAAAATTGCAACTTGCACAGACGAGCTTTACATTTCCCTGTAATGGAGTTTCAGTGTATCAGACTGCGCAGTAACCGTGCTCTGCTGTACGTCTTTCAGCAGCCGCTGATGCTGTCTGCGTTTGCAGTGGGTTTCCTTTAAATGCTTTTTCTTATTTGCTTATAGAAAGTTTAGAGCTGCAGGCAGCGGCGGCGGTGTCTGGGGAGTGCAGTTAATTGGACTTTAGTTCTACCTGTTTAGACAAGGAGATGGAAAGATGCTTTTGGGATTCCCCAGTAGCCCACTGGGATCTCGAGAAGGCTGTAAAAAATAAATAACAAAAATGACACGGTGAATATTTTGAGTCTTTTATATCCAGGTTCTTAAATAAGTTAAATTTGGCAAAGAGTCAAGCATCTGTTTCACAGATGGGGAAACTGAGCCTCGGATTGCATAAATTATTTGCCCAAGGTTACAGAGAAAGTGGCAAAGCCAGAACCAGCGTCTCGGATTCCTGCCTTCCCTTCTCCTCCATAAGACTAGATTAAATTGCAAGTGAAAAATAAACAGTGCTGCATACATGCTGAGAAATAAGCGTATTTTATTTGTTATTACTAGTCTTTCAGGCCACTCTGTAATCTCTCGAACAGTAAGGTAGGACAGATACTGCTTGGGAAGGTATAATCCAAAAGGTCTTTAAAGTGTTTTCTTCTGTTCACGATTTTTTCATCAGAAGTGTTTCGAGAGGAAAAGCAGCAAAATTCCTTTGGGGGTGTGGGGAGAGGAAAGGCTGTGGGGTAGGAGAGGGGGGGAAGAAAAGAAGCTGGGTTTAACTGTTTTTATAACCAAAAAGGTAGGAAAATTATAAAAGAAAATGTGTACAACTTGGAAGACAAATCTCTCTGGGAAGATCACTAAAGCCCAAATGAATGCTGCTGACAGGCGTCGGAGTGCTTAGATAAGATCCTATTATTCAGACTCATAACTTTGAGTAGAGGAAGATATCCGTAACCGAAATGTAGAAAAATAGAGATGGTAGTATTCAGTTTGTCAGCTGAGCCGGTGATAGGAAGGTGTATCTCACAGCGATTACAGGATTAGGAGGTTTGCTAATACTGTTAGTAGAATGGGATTTATGGAATGACACCGATGTTAAAGGTTTGAGTGTACTGAATGCAGGATTTCATTATTTCCTAGGTGCCTATCAAGGCTAATGTGTGGGAAAATGGAGTTGCTATTATTTAAACTTGAAATCATTTCCAGGCTTCTCAGCATCAGGAGAACTATTCCATTTTGCATCATCTGTTACTTCATTACTCAGTGATAATTTGTATTTGCCCAGGAGGATTTTCAAGAGATGAATAACACTCTCACCGAGAATTCTGAACGCTGAAATTTACACTAATTCTGTATATGGGCTGTTGTATGAAATTTAAATTATGCCTATTGCAAGCGACCACACTCCGTCTATTCTCTATCAGACAATGCACTCTACGTAGTGGATTTCTTCCTGAGATGATTATCTTCTAGATTATGAGTACATTTTATTTTATCAGCAGAATAAAAGCATCAGAGGTGATTGTAGTAAATGAGACATGTTTATAAAAGTAACTGCAGCAATTGAATGTTGGTTTTCCATCCTTCCGTGCGTTGTTTGTACATTCTTTCCAGCAGTTAATACAGTGTTTCTCTGTATCAGGAGACTAAGTACATGGAGAGAAGATATGAATGGAAGTATAATAGAATACTTTGGGATTTTTAAAAATTATAATGATGATAATATGGATCTTCCAGTGGCGCTTTCGCTCTGAGAACCTTAAGTCGTTGCCAGCGTTGCAGTGAAATTTATTGTCTGCAGATGCTGGATTCATCAGTGACATCCCATCCTTAATGCTTCTGCGATACGCTGCTTCTCTCTGTTCGGGCAGATTTCACGCACCCGTGAATTTGAGCCCACAGTTCCTTACCTTATTGCAAGAGAACGTGAAGCTCTGAGGTTTTAAGTGATATGTGTTCAAAAATAGCTACTGATGTATGAAAGTGCTGTATTTGGGGCTGAGATAACTTAAATCAGCTTGAAACCCTCGTGATCCTGTGATATCCAACCCCATAAAATATCTGCTTCACTTCAGACAGGGCCCCCAGCATGGGCTCGGTTGGGGATTTCTGGGATATAAAGATAAAACATGGTCCGAGTTGAGGAGCAGGATGAGAACGTCTGTGTCTGACTGTTCTAGGCTCCTGACACCTCCCAAAGATGATGATTCTCCAAAAGGAGAATCCCGCACTATTTGTATATACTGAATTTACAGCCACTTCATCCAGCTGACTGGGATGTGACTGCAGCAAAAATATGTGTGAAATAACTGTGTCAGTATTTGTAGAACACGCACATGAAAGGAAACAGGAATAAATGGCACTGTAAGTTATATCTAGGGTAGGATTTTTGTTCCTCCGCATGTCTGCATTTTTCAAATAACAGGTGAAGCTTGAGATGAATAATAATAATAATAATAAGTTAAAGCTGTCCCATTGTTGGCAAGATGCTGTTTGTACATCAGCTCAAACTAAGCTACTAAATTAGGACTCAAATACAGCCATGTGAGCACTTCATTTTTTTTTATGTGTAATTTGCTATTTCCTTTTTATTTTGACATCTTAGCTACAGTAGCACAGAAGAATCTTATTTGGGATGGAAGTCTTTTAGACTTGCTGCATCGCCACACTTCTGCTGTTTAAGTAGCATGATTCTGGCTTTCAACGTGAAATTGCTCTAAATCTTATTTTGTAGTAGCATGAAATATGATTGGGTGAAGAGAGTAATTTGATAACATGTTTTTCACAACATTCTCCCTTTCACTGTTTGCTGGTTTTATTCCCAAATGTTCTGCAGTGTATTATTACCATTGATAATGTAAAATGCAGCCTCTACTTATCAAAAGCAGCTTGTAAAAATAAAAATAATTGGTGTAGAAGGATGGGAAACCAGGGACATGACCATAACAGTGCTGGGTATTTTGACTACCTAAAACATGTTTTTCAAAGACTTAATAGTGAAATTATTATTATTTTTTTTAATAGGTGTTCCCATTCCCACCCTGACTTGGTATAAGGACTCTGTTCCTCTCAGCAAGCTGGAAAACCCTCGCTACAAAGTGCTGCTGAGCGGTGGGCTCCGGATCCATGCGCTGCGTCCTCAGGACGCTGGAATCTTCCAGTGTTTTGCGAGTAATAAAGCTGGGGAGATCCAGACGTACACCTACCTGGATGTGACTAGTGAGTAAGGAGCTGTGGTACGAGATCAATGAGTTGTCGTTCCTGTAGGCGACCCTACATCCATCAGATTTCTCCGTTGCTCTGTGCTGGTTTCGTTTAACTCACAGAACCTTGATTTTCATCGGGTGTAGCTGCCCTATCTGTAAGGAACCCCAAAATGTCCTCTGTGGGCTGAACACGATCTGCTGAAGCCTGTAGAAAAACTTTCCATGACATTAGGGGCTCGAGGTGAACTCTCCTATTTCATGCTACAAAAAGAGAACTTAGTGAAAAAAGAGAAAGGTTAATTGTGAAATACTTTTCTTTTTCCTCTATACTTAAATAATTTCATTCTACTGTAATGTGATTCTGTTCTGAATCTGAGCTACTGCTTCATGATTGTGCATGCTATCATTTTGTCTGCCTTTTGTCTACAGCTACATTTAGCAGGGGAAAGAAAGAAAGTTCAGGTTAAATGTCTCTTTTTTTTTTTTTTCTCACAAAATGTCTGATTAAATGGTTTTGTTAATGAAATACACTTTTCTCTGTGGAAGAACTACAAATCCTAGTAGTCTCTTTTAAAAGCTATTATTAACAGGCATTTGTATAATACTAAAACTCCTCTTCAGGAAGCTGATTTTTAGCCCAAGAGCAGTTTACACGTACTGACCAGAACTCCTACTGGCCTCAAAAATAGATCAGCTCCAGTTCAATATATATCCAGGAAGCAGCTGGGGAAAAAAAAAAAAAAAAAAAAAAAAGTAATAAAATGCAACTGGGGGAAAATAAGAGAGAAAGAAACTTGGAAAATGTCTTGGATAAGACTCAGGTTCTAAATTCTTTTGGCTGACATTTAAGTTTCAAAGTTAATGCCTTTCTCAAGTTGCTTTTCATCTTAAAGAACCCTGTTATGGAGATGAAAGAAAATAGTTTTGTTTATCTAGATTTCTCAACTTCCCCCCAAACACTCATTTTGAGCTTTATCTTCCTCTTTCTGTAAGCCATCTTACTTGTACATGTACAAGCACTGATAGATTTTTATTTTCCGTGGAGGTAATAAAGTGAATTAGCCAATTCCTAGGAGATGAATAATGAAAGGTTACAGTCACCGCTGAAAGGTTTTCATGTGTTATTGTCATGTCCTTCTCCATGATCAGCTCTATAAAAGTGGATGTGAAGTAGTCCATGATGATAGCTAAAGGAACTTTCTGATTGCTGATGCATTGAGCTTTTAAAATTTTTGATTCTAGACATTAAACCAGCATTTATCCAGCCTCCCGAGGACACTACGGTTACAGAGGGGATGACCGCAGTGCTAACCTGTGAAGTTTCAGGGGCTCCAAAACCTGCCATCTCCTGGAAGAAAGGTAGCCAGTTATTAAATCGTTGTGGAAAAGCTGTAATCCGTGTTTTCTTGTCTGTTCCTATCACTGAGATTCTGTAGGTCCATTTAGTCTGTAATAGTCTTTTGGAAGAAGTAGACTTGCAGTGGTTAATCCGTGCGGTTTGTGTGACACTCATCACGCTGGTTTTCCCTCCTGTGTTTCAGGAAACCAGACCTTAGCCAGTGGCTCAGTTCAGATCCCTCGGTTCATCCTGCTTGAGTCTGGAGGGCTCCAGATAACACCCGTTTTCCTCCAGGATGCCGGCAATTATACGTGCTGTGCAGTCAACTCTGAAGGAGCTCTGAACGCTTTTGTGATGCTGACAGTGTGGAGTAAGGATAATGCTTTGTTTAAAGTCTGACTTTAATCAAGTATTAATCAGTTTCTGTTGTATGCTCAGGAAATTTTCATAAGTAATTATGCTTTTCTAGCTAATAGAGATACTTGTATGATTTAATAGGAATAATGTATCTATTTTAGGAAACCTATCACAAATACCCTTTTTGTTTGTAAAATTATGCATATAAACTTCCACATTCAGTGAAAGGAAGTGTATTTAAATAAAGCTTCAATCACAATTACAGTTTTACTCAGGTTCTGCCTTGGCAAATCTCTCGTTGCAAATCCGACCTTTTAACTTGTAGATGTGGCTGTTTGCAGTTGGTTTCTGCCTCCAGCCCATGCTGTTAGTAAGGCTGCGGCCACGGTTACAATGGATATGATTTTCCTCACACCTTTGTATTTCTTGGTGGCCCTGGGCACTGTTGGAAGCCAAACGGAAGCACAGCAGACTCCAGCTACCCTCTCACACTGCAGATTGGCACGGCACAGGGCAACCCATGAAATTATTTTCTCCTTCACCATTTGCCCTTCATCTCTATTTTTTCAGTTTCTCTGTTGGGGTAGAGTCTGATCCAACAGGTTCACCTGTGTTACTCCTAAGTGAGTTAAATTTCAGTGTAACTTGGTTTTTGCTGCTAAAGGTAGGAAATAATGACTCCTGATCTGGGACTAAAAATAATTGTCATCAACACCTTCATTATTTTTAAATACAGAAGTGTTGTGGCCCTCTCTCCTTTCCTGTGCTTGAACTACTGGAGTTGCTGCTCACGTGTGGTGCACATTTGACATTTGTTCATCCCAAAACTGTGCAAGTTAAATCAGCGACATTTTGCCTTTTGAAATTGGGAATACCTGAAAACAATACTGGCAGGAAATGTAACATACTTGTGCCATGCGGCCATCATACTTATATCTTCTTGGCAATATAGAGTTGGTATACATACCAGGATGTTGTAAACTGAATGACATCCAGGTGTATGGAGCAAGTAAAGGAGATCCTTCCCGTTAATTGTCAGAGGCGTGGTTCTTATAGGTATTAAAGATAGTTCCTGTTCACTGCACTGGAGAGGGAAAAGAAAAGTCAATATAACCCAGTATTTATGTAGCAACAGCAGCATTATAAAGCTAGAAGGCATACGTAGGAACATCAGGAATAATGCTAAAAATTCCATGCTATTCGAGTTGGCTTTTGATTTGGCTGATGATTCCTTGTGCATGTATGAGATAGCTCAGTAGACGCTGATTATCTCTGTAGGGATTTGGGACTGATTAACATTATCCGCATATCTTCTGTACTCATCCTAGTTGTCTACCTGCTTCAGCTGATGCTATCTGCTGCTGCTCCTGTGTGTTAAGCATAATAGAGATCTTTCACACCAGATCTGGTTGCTGTAGTTACAGCAATTATTGTGTTCTGAGTCTCCAGGAGGTGCTTGAATGAAGATGTTTTGAAACATTTGAGTAAACAGCATATCTTTCTTATATAGAAAATTCAGGCTACCAGCAACTCCTCCTCCTTTTACCTCTTTCCTGGCTTTGATTAGATTGTAGGGAGCCATTTAAGTTTTCTCTTTCTGGATATTTTTCTAGTGTATTCATCTTGGCACAGATGTTCTTGGGTTTTGTTTTCCCTGCTCCAAACAGTACAACTTGTTTCCTGGCTAAATATATGTTTGGGTTCATTCATAACGCATTACGAGCATCCTTGCTGCCTTCTGACTTTAGGGAGTTGCCATAGATGCTTACCACAAGACAAGTGAGAGTTAGTACAGCTTTAGTGTTCTTCCTACTCGGATCACTGCCGACTCAGACTTGTACCCTCTGCTGCTTTTGCTTTTCTGCATCCCACAGCGTTCCACCTCTTCTTGACACAATGACCTTAGAGGGAGGGGAGCCTTCACAGCAAAGACTTGAAGAGGAATGGCCTGCTTGCTTTGAATGACAAATGTTCAGTTGCCTGCTCTCTGAGTGAATGCTCAAGTCAAAACGCTGTAATTTCACCTGAACTATGGCTTGTGTTCCTTTCAGACCGCACTTTCATTGTTCGCCCTCCTGAGGATAGCACTGTGATCAAAGGAACCACGGCCGCTCTGCGATGTGAAGCGACTCATGATCCTAGAATTTCAATCAGGTTGGTGGTGTCAGTTCTTGTTTGTGTGGTTTATCTGAGCTTAATTTTATAAGCTATATGAATAGCATTAGGTGAAAAGTTTCAGGACCCCAGATTTTAACACCAGACCCCTGATTACTGCATTATAAGGTTGTACACCGAATCATTAATCATATAAATCCCATCTTCCATTTCAGCCTTATGTATTATTTACAATGAGCTATGTTCCACTTCATGACTTCAATATAGCCTTCCATGATTTTACTGTCAAGGTTAATATACTATCAATAAAACCAACTTGTCAGAAGCTGATACTTAATGAGAGTAAAAGCCAAAGAGAAGGAATAGGATTTCAGAGGTGTTTACATTGGGGTGCATGAAAGCAACACAAGAGATGCCCATGTTCTTAGAAATGAGTCAATAACTAGGGGCTGTATTCTGCTTTAACTGTGTAAAGGAAAACAGAATGTCTCTGAACCATTAAGATTTGTGCTAGAGCATTTAGAGGAAGCCTACCTTTTAAAAATAAATTTACCGTGAAAATTCATGTAGTTTGAAAGCAACACAAATGAAAGAAAATGCAAGGAACAGCCTGGAGGGTGCTGGAAGGGTGAGCTGCAGAAAGAGCTTCGGAAAGAGAAATACAGGTGTAAAAATTTCATGTAGAGATACTTAATTGTAAGACCGTGGGCTATACGCATCTTTGACGTGTTGGTATGTGTGTTTTAATGGATGAGCTCTAGTAGACGTGGTCACAGCAGTTCAAGGTGTTACTGATTATGGCTGTCTAAGGTTATGGCAGTCTTAGCAGAGGTGGGCCAACACCTCGGCTGTATTTCAGAGTATGATGTTCTAGTGTAAAGTGCTGACGAAGGTGGACTTTAGAACTTGGACATGAGTACTTCACCTTTCCCGTGTAAAATATATAGTATTGTTTGTAAAATACATAGTAATTTGGATACAATTACATTTCTCATTCTGTTCACTGATCTAAAACAAAAATTTGTCAAAGGCATTGTTCCTGAAAGTAACTGTAGGGACCTGTTGTTTAAATGCATCATTACAGAAGCTGATATTTCATTACATGGTTTAAATAAATCTGTTTTCAAGTTTTTGTGAGTAACTATTAACTGAAGCATTGTAATACTCAGGTATGTTTGGAAGAAGGACAATGTTGTAATAAATCCATCCAGCAGTTCCAGGATCACAGTAGAGAAAGATGGAACCCTCCTCATCAGCCAAACGTGGTCGGGTGACATTGGAGACTACACTTGTGAGGTCATTTCTTCCGGAGGAAATGACTCGAGAATGGCTCGACTAGAAGTGATGTGAGTATTCCATCTTAAATACACGCTATGCTGGGTTTCAGATACCCTTGGGCATTTTTCTAGCATTTCATTCTAGGAGGTGTGGAGAGTCTGTAAGGTTGACTTTTGGTGTGGGATTTTTTAGGGGAAATTAAGTCAGGCTCATTCCCAGTTAAATTGCCTTGAAGTGTGTCCTCCCTTTTGCATGCTGCCATGCTGCTTGGACTTCCAAGGAACTGGAGCCTTGGAAGGTACTTCCAAGTAACTGCATCTCTCTAGATCACCATGTGCACATGTCCATCTGGTTGGGTGTATCCCTGAGCTCAAGGATTAAGACCTTGTAGCTGCCTGAAGCCCGTAGGAAGTGGACTGCTGCAGGGGAATCTCATTGGACATGTCCTGTTCAGCATCGTTATCGGTGATCTGAAGGTGTTGGAGAGCAGGCTCCTAAATTTATAGGTGGTACAAAATGGGCTGAGATACATTCAAGGGCAGGGCCACCATTCAGAGGGACCTAGAGGGGCTGAGAAAGGACCGACAGGAACCTTATGGAATTCAGCAAGGACGAATGCAATGCCCACATCAGGGGAGGGGTAACCTTTTGCACTGGGACAGTTTGGGCACTGACTGGCTCATAGCAGTTCTGCTGGAAAGAACCCAGGGATCTTGGTAGAGAGCAGCTGAACATGAACCAGCTGTGTGCCCTGGCAACACAAAAAGGCTGACAGCATCCTGGGCTGTATGAACACGAGTGTGGTGGATTGATGGACATGATTGCTCTCTTCTATTTGACATTTATTAGTCTACATCTGGAATACTGTCTCCAGTTTTTGAGACTAGACTGGACAAACTGGTCTGATCTCATGGCTGACCCTGCTTTGAGCAGGAGGTTGGACCAGAGACCTCTGGAGGTCCCTTCCAATCTGAATCCTTCTGTCATCCCATGCTGTAGGGCTTTTCCATAAAGCCCAGGTGCTGCGATGTGATGCCAAGGTTACAAGAAAATGTTTTCCTCCTTTTAGTATTTTTTCCTCTGTCAAACATATATCAGAATAGCTGGTCCCTAGACAGGCGTTGCTTACTCTTGCATTCTCTTTATACAGAGTTCTTCAGGGGAAAAATGTTTTTATGTACACCTCACTTTATTCCTAAGGATCTTTAAAAATAAAAACAAGAAAATGTTTAAAGTGCAGTTCAGTTCTGAAAAAAGGATTATAAAAATATCATTATGGGGTTCCATATTTTCTATTTCTGTTGTTCCACTGAGGTGAAGTGCACTTCCATTTTATTTTTATCACTAAAGCAACTGTGGTTTTTGGTACGCGTGTGGAGGAGATGAAATGCATAAGAAGGTGATGTTTTATGTAGACTTTTTATTTATTTGAGTAGTGCCGCATGCTTTAATTTAACTCAAATTGCATCTGTTTCTGCTAGTCATGCCTGATCTCTCTGAGAAGACGGCAACTTCTGCTGTTGGCAGTGTAATGAGTTCACCTCCGAGATTTGCTATGCAGAGGGCTGTTTGATACAGCATTATTCTGACAGTGCCAAGCCTAGATCAGATGCCCATTTTCAGAGAGCGGTCATACATTCTTTCTCTAATTAAGCACTCCTCAGCTCTCCTCCCGGAGTGCATTTTACTGCTGGTCTGAATCCAAGAGCAGAAGACAATTCAGAATATATTGCTGCTGTGTAACCATACTTGATTTTCTCTGAGGCGGTTTTTGAATAGTGGGCAGAAAATTATAGAGGAAAGACTGAAAAGAATGTTAAAACCTGGACTCTGAAGCAAAGCTATAAATATGTGCTGAACTCTCCAGCCATCCGACCATTTCTTAATCCTAAGCAGCAAAAGATGCCCTATGCAACCTGGTATAGCACAGCAGATGTATTTACAGTTCCCCACTGACCAGTGAGGAACAGCTTTGTACTCCATAAAACTCAGGCTAGAAGTTAACTGGGAGAGACACGTCCCGTGTACGTTGCTGAGGCTGCCTCCCTGGCACCCCAGCTTGTTCCAGTTGTGTTGGCTGGCTCGCCATGCGTTGGGACTGGCTCTTAGTCCTGTATCTCTACTTCCTCGGACATTCTGTTGCTATTTAACCTGGTTTTCCTGAAGGAATTAGAGAAATGTATCAGACCCACTCTTTCAGAGGACTTCAGTAACTGATAAGTCACTCAATCATACCCTGAGTTGTGACATTTTATTTCAAAGTAATAATGCCAAAAAACACGGCAATCGCAGCTTTCATCATTATTGTTTGGCTCAGCAGCACAAATCTGTGAGAAATAGAGATACATGATACAACAGAAGTGAAATGAAGAAGAAAATATGAGGAAGGGAAAGGTCTGAAGTAAAGCTTAAATTAAATTCTAGCTTATATACGAATGACAGAACTATAACATTCCCTGTTCTCCCAGATAATTCTCTTGTGCAGAACATTAACAAACAGGGCATGTACATTCCCATCGATGAGCACTTACACTTCAGTGCCTTGAGTACCACTAATGTCACACAAATGTTCAAAGGAGGCCTCTCAGCCGCTTACAGACTGGAGCAGTTTACCAACGGATAATATCCCAGCCTACCTCGCTTCATCTGACAGCTCCAATTGTCTCACCACCTTTTTTCCCCCAGAAACCAGCACGTGTCCTTCCTCTACCTCCAAGCATGTCAAGAGAAATTTCCAAAGGCACAAATAAGTTTATTACTGATTTCTGTTCAGACTGATTCAGTTCAAAACCGTTGACCTTCAGGATGACCTTCAGTTATTTAATCTCTGAGTGGTCTGGTTTTCCAATCCATGAAAAGGAGGAAAGAAAACTTTTTCTTCCTTTGTCCCCCCCACGGTGGAAGACAGCCTTGGGGAAAAAGGGACTGTTTCATCCTAGAGGAAGATACGCTGATAGCACAGCATGGTATGCATTGATAGTGCAAGCAGGATGGATTATTTTTCTCAGCATGTCTACAAAGAAAAAAAAAATATTTGAAAAGGAAAGCCAGAAAACTAATGAAGAACTTGCTAAAGTGCAGCCAAAGGTTACCTTGCTCATCAATTTTGCACTGATGGTACTTGGGCACAGAAACTAATTGCTAGTCAAGATACTCTATTCATTCATTTGTCTTCCCCCTAAATGTGTTTATTCTTCATGTACATCACTTGATTTGATTTGCACAGGGCAAAACATTTGCGAGTGATGTTTCTCTTCTGCAAGAGATAGATTTTAATTTTTTACCTACTTTTTTTTTCTTCTTAGCAGAGCTTCTCGACTGCTGATAGAGAAACATAAACAGGTCTTTTGACGATGATCTTGTACTTCTCTTGCGCTCCTCCTAGTCACAGGATTTGATCCTAAAAATAATTGTATGTTATGAAACATACTGGCTTCATTTAGCTTACTTCAGCTTACTTTTATAGTGCTGTAAATACCATACTGAAATACATATAGAGGAAAAACCACTTGTTCCTGAAGCTGCATAAGCTGAGTTATCATAGTGTATCACTCACCTGATGGGAAACTCTGCTGATTCCATCTCAAAGTATCCCAGAGATTTTCAGTGTATATAAAATAAGCAGAATTATGAGTATCTATGCCTGATGCCTGCTGCTCAGTATCAGCCTGTCTCCAGTCCATACTAAAGAATCCCTTTGTTGTATGAGTGTGACTGAACAGTATGGTGATGCTGCATTGTTGGAAAATCAAAGCCCTCTATGAGCCTCTGATATGTCACAACATATAGTAAAATCTTCTAGGCTCTTTCTGTATGTAAAAATATAGGGAGGACAATGTAGTATAAAAATAGACAATTTATTCCTGGCTGCAAGTTCATCTTTCAGTTCTCTTTCACCAGAGAAAGAACTGTTCTGTCTCCTTCAAAAGCAGGAGAGGGGTGCTAATGATTTATAAAAAAAACCTCGTGGGCTGCCAGGAATGTGCAGTATTGCCTTTCTCAGTCATTTACACATGAATTTTGATGCCTTTTTTACTAGAGTATTTGTAATTGTTACTTCTTCCAATTTCTTCACAATAAATCCTATAAAATACATTCGATTACTAAAAATAAAATCAGTAAGACCAATAGAGAATAACGAATTAAAATGATGCCTCATTACAAATTTGTCTTCATATGGATCCCATATCCCTGGGTTCCAATAGCCCATGTCTTCTCCTTTCTGCGGGGAGTGAAAACAGGAAGGATGTCAAAGTTGAAAATACATTATTCCTTCCTCACTAGAAAGAAAACTTCTATTTATTTTTCCAAGCTCTCTTTTGAGATGTCGTCCAAGAAGTAGGGCTCACTGCTGAGTCTAAATGCGCTTGGTACACCCAGAAATACACTCAGAAACACATTTGTGTCTGTTCATCATTGACGGTATATCAGATATGTGGGTACTTCTAGCAAAAGGAAAACATAAAAATCAAAACCCTTTCCCAAGTCATTTGTAAATTTGAGCTTGTGGTGACCACCAAAATGAAATGGGAAATAAATCTGCAAGCCTTTAATTTCAAAACTCGTCTTCATTATAGTTCTGCGAGAGACAAAAAGCCTCAAAGCTAATGTTTGCCTTGCAGGAATCCTTCCCGTGTTTAGAAATGGAAGAGGATTCTTGTGCAAGAGAAACTGAGGAGTCCTGAGCAACCAATTATGTGTTTCTTAATGTAAAACATTCTCAGCTTTTATGAGCAAAGCCATCAGGGCTCAGTGCTTTGTTAGGCTTCCTGCCTCAATTTCTTCTTGTGTTATTGGGTCTAATGGATGAACCACCTGCTCCTGGGTCCAACTGGTGTGGTGGGCCTGATGTAGGAAATCATTTATGAAACAGGAGCAGGGCTTTTTATAAACTGACAAGAAAACTTGTTTAATCTCCCTTGCCTTTTTAGTAATCCCCTCTTCAGTCACAATCTCTCTAATTACCTGCTGTTGGACCATTTTTCTCAGAAATCTCTCCAAACCATGTCTGGTTTATTTCCCTCAGCAAATAGTCTGCTTTTAGCTAATTTTATAAAACGCTTTGTGTGTTTGCTGAGTGAATTTTTCAGCTGCCCTCTGGCAGTGATGAGCTGACTCAAAACATTAAAGCTTCTGTTTTGAACATGTATCATCTGCAACTAGCTAATATTTCTCTCCAGGATTGTCACAATGACTTCATGTTCTTTTCCTGCAAATCGGCTATTTTAATTGCTTTGTCAGAGCCCCCTCAGGTCACCCTGGTGGCCATCCCATTAACACTGGGCTTATCTATCAAGTGCATATTCAAAAGTGTCCATATACGTATGTTGCTGTCATACAAAGTAAGTTATGGAAAACTTGCCTCCATGCAACTCTTCAGCATTAGAGGAGTGAGGTCTTAGGATATCCTATGTTGAAAAAACATTTCATATATTTCCTGTCTGGGGCTTCAGTGAATGAAAGAAAGATAATGCTGGAATTAAACTTCCAGGGTCTGATCGAGGGCTGTTCTCTGCCCTGTGTGTTATTGTCCTAAGCCTCATCCACTTTCTTGGTCTTGAGCAGTTCTAGTCTGAGGTTTTTCTCATTTTGAAGAAGGGTTGGAATTACCATTCCCTGCGATGATTTCTGGGATGTTAGCAGCAAGGAAAAGTCATTCTCTTAAAGGGAAAAAAAGAAGCAATGATGTCTTTTGGGAATGTGAATATTCATGATGGTGGTAAAGGTCTGTGTTATCATCCCTTCCACACAGTACGTGGTAGCAAATGAGAAGGGGACAAAGTGTAAGTGCTTGCTAAAGGAGGAATTACTATTTATTAATCTCTGCTTTTGTACAGTACAAAGAGAGAAGTGCACTTCTGTGCTGAAATGTCTTTGTAGTTTTAAATATTTATTTCTGTCCAGGTGTGTATCTTAGGCACTTGTTCTGTCTGCCTTGAGGGATTTAGATCTGTAAGCACCATCTGTCGCTGTTCGGTGTGGACACATATGGCTGAAGAATCGGATATTAGAGGAGATAGGTGTACGCTGCTGCAGCTCGTGCTGCTCGGCCTCTGAACAGAACGTGCCCATTTCCCTCTCGCTGATGACTGATTACCGTTTCGTGTCAATCTAAGAGAATAATCATCTAAACCCAAATCCTACAATAAACCCTGCCTGTGTTTAAACTCGGTTTGTGTTTTAAATCCGTGAAAAAGGGAATGTCCCCTCTTCCAGGAGTCTCCTGAGATTTGTACCCTGAGAAAAAGGGACTGAGCTGTGGAGTCTATCATGTAGTCTCTGTCCTCAAATGAGCCTTTAATTCAACCCTTCTGCATGTATGGGGAAACAAGATGAACTAGTAAATGCACATGCTGAAAATATCCTTAATATATTCCAGGAGTGTTTATGTAGTTCCCAGAAAAGGAGTTACATGGGGATAAGTTTGCTGTGAGCTCCCCCTCAGCCATCCCTCTGTTGCTCCCTGTGAGCATCATCTTCTGGAAGAAGCTGAAGCCAAAGCCTGTCTCTGAGCTCTTCCCCACATGGCCTGGTGACAAATGAAATGGGGACTGGGACTTCTGTGAGCCATGTCACAACAAGACATTTCACTTCAGTGGTTTCCTTTGCTTGCTTAATCACAAAAATGTTTTTCCAACCAGCATCCTTAGGACATAATGAGAAATTGTAGTGCAGGTTTAACGTTTATTATAATTTAATGTTTCATTCAAAATTAAGTAGCACAGTCCTGTAGTCCATGGGTAAATGGCCATATCTTAAACTCCCACTCCACACTTCACATACATACTCTTCCCTGTGCCTGGTGTTCTTCTACCCCAACAGTGACCATGCCTTAGCTGTCTGTGCTTCAAAAGTTTTGAGCCTGGTTGCCCTATTCCCAGACTGAAGTGAGAACGTAGTCATCCTCACTTCTTACCAATCAAGGTGTCTTGAGTGATTTAATCAAGTTAAGATCTGAATCACAGCCTGAGGTGTCATTCCATGGTTACTACAGAAAGACCCTGGGGTGACCAGGCTGCTGATCTCTGGTTAGGCGTTTAAAGTCAGATGAGACAAGATGGGTTGCTGAGTCCTGGTTTTAGCCTTAGGAAGCACCAGCCATTCCAGCCTACCACCAACCATTCCAGTTGAGCGTCTTCCACTTATGGTGTCTCAATATCTGTGTGTTTTCCTTAGCCCTTCCAGCAACCTTTCTCTTTTTTTTTTTTTTTTTTCTTTTTTTTTGTGTTAACTCCGCAGCAGGTAGCTATCATAAACACATAAGCAAAAGCATACACATTTTTAACAGAAAAATAAAAAAACTATTGTCTGCCTCCATATGCTCCTCAATCTTCCAGTAGAAACCCAAATCCAGGACACATTTATTGTTCTGGCTTAAAGCCAGAGTCTGTATTACTTTTGTGAGTGGCTAAGCAGTTGCGGTTTTTAAATAACTGTAAGCCTTCAGTAGCGTGATGTATTACAAACAGAAATTACTACACTTTTAAATTAAGCACTTGAAGTACCCTTGTGGCTTTCTGCTCTGGCCAGAGCGAGTTAGCGGTGGTGTGTGCTGAGGAAGGGGTACCCTCAGCTCTCCTGGGGAGGAGCAGGAGGTTGAATGGGTGAAGACTGATCCTCCTTGCTTTTCCTTCACTGTCTGAGGTCCTTGTCCTCATTAGGAAACAGAAGGATAAGGAGCAGAAATCGTGCTCAAATATAATGGCTGAAGGGCTTTTCTCACTTAATGCAGTTCAGTGTTGAAGGGATGTAGCAAAACTTAGTTTTCTGGCTGCACCACGCAGCCTCTGACTTTCAGCCAATGAGTACAAATGAAATGTTTTTCCACAAATTGCCTTTATGCAGAGAAATTACGCGTTTTAATTGAGCTGCTGTTTTATTTTTGGTTTTTTTAATGTTTCATTTTGTATTTCCATGGGGTTTCTGCAGGCGTTTTCACTACATTTTCTGGTTGGGTGCTTCGAAAAAAATCCTTATTATAGGAAGGAAGGATTCTACCTGTGACAGGATAACCCTGAATCCATGAGTAAATCAAGCTGCTCTGTAGCCTAAGAATACATATGGTAATTTTGATTAGTAGCTCTGTACAGATAGTGTCAATGTCTTCTGCTTACTTGAGTATGAAAAATTCCATGTTAGATCATATCTCCCATGTGTTTTGCTGTTTATACGTATTACTGCTGTCATGTTGCTAGGACATCATTGTAAGAAGGGGGGAAAAAAAGTGAGAGAGGAAATTTATTGACCAACTTGTCTCAGTCAAAAACAGTATGAAAATTGGCTTTTTGCCACATTTAGCAGATTTCCATTAGCTGTTCTGAGCATCAGCCTTGGGACTTTCAGCATAAATTTTTTTTTTTTTCCAAACAGGAGAAAATTGTGAAGAATTCAGAGACGTTTTTCGTTTATTTAATTGTACAATAGCTGCTGGTAGTTTTGTATCTATCATCATACGAGTCTAATGTCGTGTGCCTTTAACTGCCTGCAAGACTGTAGCTGAATGAAATGTAGATTGATTTTTCTGTGCTGTTTTTTCTCCCTTTCTCTTTTCCTCAACAGTGAGCTGCCTCATTCCCCTCAGAATCTCGTGGCCGCTCTAAATTCCTCGTACAGCCGCAGCGTGATGCTCTCCTGGGTGCGCCCCTTTGATGGGAACAGCCCTCTTCTCTACTACATGGTGGAGCTCTCTGAGAACAGTAAGTCAAACATGTTCAACCTCATTGTGGCTTCTTTCACACTCACCTGATGGTCTGTCAGAGGAACAAACTTGATGTCAATAGGAGCAACTATCTTATCTGTGTCTGGGTTCATATATTTTTCTAGGTTATCATTTTACACCCTTCTTTTAGATAGGTATTTGTGGACACTTAAGTGTAAGATAGCCAAATATCTAGCTTAATGGGTTACAAGCCTGGTCATTGTGAATTGCCATGTCTCACGGTTTTTTCATGCCGTACGTCTGGTCCTTGGTGGCTCTCGGTTTGCAAGGTTATTCAGGGATACTGCTAATGCCTCTGTAGGAGTTGATGGAAAGATGAGGTTATATGGAAATCGGTCACCTTGGCAATACTTGCTAATCGCTATCACCCTAGGAGCTGGAAATCCAAGTCTAACAATTGATTCTTGATGAAAAAATTAAGAACATCACTTTTTCTGACACGTGGAAATTAGCCACTGCATAACTGAATGTGAAACAGTCTTGATTTCTGATTATCCAGAGAGTAGCATTTTGTTTTGCCACACAGAGAGCTTGAGATGAAACTTGAGCTTCGGATCACATACAACCCTTTTGCTTTGCAGCCTGGAGTGCGTAAGTTTTCGATGTGGAGGTCCCAGAACTGATGATCTTGACATCTGTTAAGCAAAGTGCAGTTTTCTAATTCTAGCAGAATTCCCAAGCCATGCCCAGGGCTGCTGTCCTTAAAACAGTTCTTTTTGAGCAAAGACTCCTGATCTTTTTGTACCCAATGACTCAGAATATTCAGTGTTCTGCACTCACGCCCCCTCTCTACCTTTTTATCGCCACCACCTTTTTTATTGTCACTCTTCTCTCCTTCCCCTCCTATTGACTCCAGGCCAGGAACTGCCTTTTTGCAGGACGTTGCCCTCGTGTTTTATGTTTCCCAATGGCTTTGACAAAGACAAGCTAATAAAATCCCAGCCTGGGAACACGCTGCAAAGGTACCGGAGCTGTATTTGCATAGAGACAGCGCAGGACTGGCAGAATATATGCACTTGGGTCCTGTGCTGGGCTGCATGGATGGGGAAGAGCCACTGAAAGAGGAGGGAGCTCCAGGAGAAGTTTGAAAGGTCTTCAAGTGCATTTCGAGCAAGGATGCTTTGCAGTTGTTCTAGCAGAGGAACGGGGTAAACGTGCCATCATTCTGAAGATGCTGTAATTCACTGAAATCTGTAGAAGGCTCAGCAAAAATCAACACTAGCTCTCCAGAAATCATGCAGACAGTCCCTCAGAACTCCCCAGGATCCTGTGAACCCTCGCTCGCTCCATGATAGATCCATTAATTTTGGCTGATGGCATTGCAATCTACCGCTGAGAGCCTCATTGTCACAAATCATGGGTACGTGTACTTCAGCAAGCCTGCAGCCGTGCAAACCAAACACAGACCGGGACTGTTGTGAACTGAGCATTTTAACTCCCAGAAATGGTCTGGATCTTGCTGTCCTTTCAGTTTTCATCTTTATTTACTTTGTTTTTATGTACAGTCTTTAAATGGTTGTTCACAGAAGTAGGACAGGGAGAAATCCAAACCCTTGAATCTTCTGCTGTTGCTGCTCTCTCTCATTTCATTTATTATTGCTCAGCTTTGCAGATGCGAACAGAATAGTGGAACAATGTCAACAGCGACTTTGGTTTGCAAAGCTGACTTTAATGTCTGTGCGTTGTCACTGTCTTGTTTTGTTTTTTATTTTCTTGAAGTGTTTGTTTCTTAGAGTTATTTTGATCTCAGTAGTGTGTAGTTAATCTTTAGTTTCTCCAGACCTCCTCCTCCTCTGGAAAACCCCACCTTTGCTTTCTTCCCCCTCATCCCGAGTGATGGGTGTGAGCGAAGCTGACATTTGATCTTGTGTAGGTACAGTTCTGTCTGATATGACTGTGCAGAAGCTCTCTCTGCTTTGCAAATAAAACTTCCTTTCATGTTTTCTGGCGGTCCTGTTTGTGCTGCAGAAAGAGCAACTGTCAGGGAGTCGGTGTGTGCCCTCCGCCAGCTCCTCTGCTGGTGTCCGTAGCTCTCTCACTGTCAGCAGTGGTGCAAGATGCTTAACATCCTCATCCCCCTTTGCTTTCAGACACGGAAGGTGAGGGAGGGACAGCAGGATTCATTTCCCAGTTAGCAAAGCTGCACAGGAGACTTTGTTCCTAGTTCTGGGGAGTTTTGATAAGTGGGTTTTGCTTTTCAGTTACAGCTGCCAAAGCGTAGCCTACTTTTGTTCATTTTTTTTATCTGTTTTGCTTTGAATGATCTTGTAATAGCTTTAGGATCCATTGTACATTTTGAAGCGCGTATCAGAAAGGAATACATAATAACGGTATCTGTTTCAGAGAAATAGCTGAAGAGGGTTCAAAATAATGAGTGTATATTTCAGGGGCCAATTACTAGCTGCATTAGAGAGAGGCGTGTCGCTCCACCTGACGTGGATTACAACTCCTTTTCATTAATATCAATTCAGTAAAGAGATATAAAACCCTTATTTTAATTAGAGGGGAAAAAACAGTGGCAGATCGTGCACATAAATTGCTGGAAATATGAACGACTTTAGTCACCAAGTCACCTAATTTTTAAAATGAATGTATTTGGCACAATGCAATAATTCTCAAATTACAAGTATTCACAGTAGACTGTGTCTGTGGGTGACTTGAGACATACGGCCCTAAACATTAGGGGGCAAATTTATAACCTAATTTGAAAAACACAGTTCCAGGGAAACACAGTCATTAAGTATTCCTGCCCACACAGAGCCAGGAGTGTGAACCTTCATTTCAAATGGGATTTTCAAATAAATAGTACCATGCATTGCTGTCATTTGCATTAATATAATTTTTTGATGTTTTATGACCTATTTAGCCCCTGTTGCAATATACCCAGGAATTCCAGTGAGGTACCTTCCTGGGCTTGGAAGGGAATATGCTTATTTAATTCCAAAGAGGTTTAGATTTCAGAGATTAATAAAGAAATATTATGAATAGTCTTTTAACTGAAGAAATGAATTAATACTTAAAGAATTCTGCTGAGTACAATTAAGATAAAAGCCCATTTTTGGTTTATTGTATTCTGGGATATCTGTGCTGTGTGATGGAATGATATGACTTGGATTCATCGTGTTGCGCCAATGAGGAGATAATAAAAGCTCCTATGAAGAGCATCTGTACATGCTTAACTTAAAGCCCATGAGTTGTCACCGTGAATTTGGTAGGAATATTCAAATGATAAAAATTGAACACATTGATAAATCTTTGCAAAAATCAAAGTAAAGCCATATTGTTCATTCTGCCTGTAACTCAGATCTATATATGGTAGTTTTAAAAGATACTTTTTTCTCAGGCTGTTGGGAGACCTTCTTGAAGTCCTACCAGACAAAGGATGAACCATTAATTTTTATTTGAATTTTTTGCAATATCATATTGTCATGAAGATTTGAAAGATGAATTCAGTAAATTCCAGAAGTATAGCAAATTCCAATACCACCATCTGTGCAAAACCCCCTGGAAATGTCATCTAAACCTGTAAAAATCAGCTTTCTGCAATAGATCAGGTCTGTAATATCAAATTGGAAATTATTTTTGAGGAATTTGCAACTAAAGCAAGAATTGTGAGTTAGATAGGGAAATACAGAAGAAATGCCTCTTGGTGAGTAGCGGGCATTCAATGTATCACAAGTGTATCCAAAAATACTTGACAGAATAAAAAGTAATATCTACAACTCCCAAAATCACATTGTAAACTAGAGAGTTGCCTGTGAGATAGATTCTTCATTTCCAATAAATTCATTTGGAGAGGCAATCAGCATTGATTCAAAATACCCAGTATCCTTAAGATGATGTGCAGCTAAACATGGAAGTTGTTCAGACAGTAGCAATTACAGCGGAGGAGCAAGTGAGCAGAGCCCAGAGTACATTCTGGGCAGCTTAAGTTAAATGAAGGATTAGCACAGTCTGTTCAATCTAACCGAGGCTTATTTAATAGTGTGACCTGGCAAGTCTTTTGTCACCATGGAGCTTCTCCAGGCTTCCTGGGACAGGCGAGTGACAGTCATCCCTGGAGGAGAAGAGAGTCGGTGTTGAAAATTTTATGGCATGTTTCCAATGTCAGAATTGCTCTTCTCTGCGGTAAAATGAGCTTCTGTACAATTTTGGGTTTTGTTGTGTATTTGAGGAGGGAGAACAGCTTCTCGAAATGTTTAGTTTATTGATTGTCAAAAAAAAAAAAGACTTGACATTTAAATTTTAAAGATACTCTGCACACTTACTGTTTCCACTGCTCCACGAGCGAGCAGATCTCCCCAAACCACTTTCCCTCACGAATCAGAGTGCCCAGGAGATGAATAGGCTTCGTTTATATTAGTTTTCAGTTTAATCTCTCTTCCTGCCAGATCTTTTATCTTCCACCAGGAGAGGAAAAAGAATAAATAAAGTATTCTACAGATGCAGCATATAAACAGAGCAAAGCCCCAAGGTGCTGAAGAGATTAATAGACCCTGTTGTTGAATTAAACTGCTCACTACATTGAGCTGCTTGGGTTAAGCACTCTCAGGTGGTGTTTCCACAAGCAGTGAACAAATGAAACTGATGTGCTCTAGGAATGGGCCACTACCCAAGCAGCTCATACAAGGGTGTTTGGTCTCTGCTCTTCCATTTTCCTCAGGAAGCCGCTTTGGGCGATGTACTAAGTCAGCCACACCTTATCTTCAGCTTCCCTTGATTTGTTATTGTGTGCTCTGGCTGTAACGAGGTGAACAGTTGGTTGTGAAGTCTCAAGAGAAGCTTGATAAAATTCAGAAGGAACTAGGGTGCAAAAAACTCCCAACCAATCTTCCCCTAAGGTCTTTCTAAAAGAAGTTCAACATTTGGCTAAGATGAATTGCCGTCAAGATCTTGCAGCTGAAGTGACTGTTGGTAAATCATCAACAACTGGCAAGGATGGAACTTGACTGCTGTGCAAATGTCCCTCTCCAGCATTCCCAGGATTCTGCCATGTCATTTTTCCTGTTTAAAAAGTCTGTCTCCTCAGAAAGCCTGTACTGGAATAAATGTATTTTGAATAATTTGAAGATACAGTGTTTATAGGCCAACTGGCATCGCGCCCCAGAGGACCTAAAACTTGCTAAAGACTCTGCCAGAAAAGCGCTAAATTAGTGGTTTACATCTTGGTGTGAAGTTTAGCAGCCTTCCACATTTGGGACGTCTCATCTTCATTTTCAGGCAGACGTCTAGGTGACCTGCCAGGAGCGTCAGTGCACTTCTGATGAGCAGCATGCACAGATACGGTGCCAAAATCCACAGCTAGCTCCTCGGTAATTTCCAGGAGTGTTAGTAATTTTGGTCAGGGAGCATGAAAACAGCTGGTATTATTTAAAAACTGAACAAATCTTTAAATTGGCTGTTTCCGTTGCTGTACTGTTGCAACACAGACCAAATGTCACCTCTCCCTGACTATTTCAGTCGTGACTCGGGGGAGAGTGTGTGACACCAGGCTAGGAGGAAAAGAAGTCAAGATATTTAATTTTCAACATGTTTTATTTCTGACCTCTTTGAAAACTTGAAAATGTAGTTTGGGCATCAGAGGAGCTTGGTATGTCGAGTATGTGAACTGACAACGAGGGTTTTATAGTACTGCCAGTGCTGTTTACACCCAGGGACCTTCCTAGGAAACGATCAGACCGAATGCCATACACTATCTCTAGGAAAAAAAATTGCAGACGTGTAGAATTAGCAGGAGAAGCTTTCTCAGGTCTTCCAGCAAAGGGCTGATTTGGCAGAGAGAGAGTCACGCTTCTACACCTGCTTGCAAGCTGGGTAGGAAGATATTCCAACCCTACTGCAAATTTCATTCCAGTCCTTCCACCAGAGCCGCTCATGGGTGTGGCGTTGCGATGGCCTGCCAAGCAGATGGGTTGTGAAATACACAGCCCATCTGTCTTTATCATGCTTGTTTCCTCTTTTATTAAAATGTTAATGAATATAGTTTTTATTTATTATGCCGTGACATGTGCAGCATCACTTTCCAGTAGACAAATGTGCAATCTGCAGAACCGTGTGGGCTGACAGGAAGGTTTCTTCTGCTGAAAAGAAACTTCTTCCCAAAGTTCCTCTGAGGAAAACAAGCACAAAGAGCTTGGAGCAGTCAGAGGCATTTTCTCACTTCTGCAGGGCTTTTAACAAGCGCTTCAATCTTTTTTATTTTTATTTTTTTTTCACATGTAAATTATTCCAACAGATTCTCCCTGGAAGGTTCATCTATCAAACCTTGACCCAAAGATGACCGGTGTCACTGTGAGCGGACTGACTCCAGCCCGAACCTACCAGTTCAGGGTGTGTGCGGTTAACCAGGTGGGCAAGGGCCAGTACAGCTCCGAGACCAGCAGGTACAGTAAAAATAAATGCCTGTGTACTAACGGTGCAATAACCTAGAATTATTGGCAGAAGAAACTGCTGACTGTGAATTAATAAAATAAAGTTATCTTTTGCACAGCAGTGGAGGAACGGAGCAGTTAGCATTACCCGGGCCTCTGGAGAGTGCTCTGCAGCTGTCAGTAATTGGTGATAATGGCAATTAGGCGATGCAGGGTATCAGCACAGGGTGGGAGAGGTGCCCTCATATTTCCAGAGTATCGGTTGAGCAGAATCTTGGAACTATCTTTTTGCTCTTGTGCTGAGGCACAGCAGGTAGCCTGGGAAGGAGGACAGCGTTCACCCAGTCGTTACAGTGCCACTCCTGGAACTCACCCAGTGCGATGTAGAAGGATGGCTTCATCAAATTGAGTTTCGAGTGCATCCCCCTTCTTCTGTGAACCACAGCTTGCTGTGAGCTTGAATTGCAGAACAGCTGAACTCTAAATGGCTTTTTCAAAATGTAGGAGTTTGATATGAAAAATATTGAAAGAGCTGAAAGAAACAATTTGGAGGGAGTCACAGACACTGGACCTGAGCTCTAACTCATTCAGGCTTGTAATCTTTTTAAAGAGTTGTAGCAGCCTGGGTGATTCAGAGAGAATAGGGTTACCTCAGCTGTCTGTCTTGTTGCTTGCTTAACTGATTTCCTATTATGTTGATTTCTTGTAACTATTTCATGCATGTCTTCAGCAGTCTGATCAGTGTTATATTTCTTTCTAGTCATCAGACTTTGATGAACAGAACTGGTTCACATGGAGTGGCTACATGAGATAGAAATGTTATCTATCATTTATTTCAATGCTTGGCTCCATCACATTCTTTTGTACTTAGGTTGATGCTACCTGAGGAGCCCCCCAGTGCCCCACCTAAAAACATAGTGGCCAGTGGACGCACCAATCAGTCCATCATGGTCCAGTGGCAACCTCCTCCTGAGAGTGAGCACAATGGAGTTCTTCATGGGTACATCCTAAGGTAAGTCATTTCCCAACGTGGAAAGTGTGAAGATTGACCTGTGTGTGCATGAGGGAATTCAGAATGGTGTGACTCAAGAGTGTATTAAAGACTATTTCTCATTCTGTTGAATATATTAGTTATTGTTACAAATGCTGTGGCTGCCCTGGCGTATTACAGGTGAGAAAACACTTCTGTTCAAATGGCTGCCAGGGTGCAGACACTTGAATTGTAGCCTGTCTGCACTAGAGAGTCAGGGAGCTGGGGTCTCTGTTAGCTACTCCAAATGCATCACCTGAGTGGACTGACTCCCTGTGAAGACTCACAACATCCAGATAATTTTTCCAGTTTCAAAGTGAAGTGAAGCACCAAGTACAAAAGTTTTCATATGGGAGGTCGGTATAGTGCAGCCTGTGCATTGCAGATGTATGTTTGTTTATTACAGTCTCTGCTTCCTGCTAGAAAGGTTCATTAAACTTCTCAAAGACACAACCGGGCTCCTGCACTGTGGAAGAGCAGGGACAGAATCAATGAACTTCAGTTTTGTGCCAAACAAAATGGAGAGAGGGAACGACAGGTCAGATGCTTCATGGCAGACCTTGGTTTGGTTTTGAAAATCGATCAATGGAGTGAGATTATTTCAGACCCATCTGTATTTATTAACGAGAAACAGATTCAGGCAGGTAACTGGTAATCCTGAATACATCCCGTTTTTCTGCTTATACAGGGGTTATTGTGTTGGAAAGGGCATTGCCATACTGAGACAGCTTGCAGAACGTTTCCCTTTTGTAATTTTTTGAGGATTCGGTTATTCACTCCCACCCAATTCAACTACAGCTTACTTACTCATTTGGCATCCTGCACATCCTGCAGTGCCAGCAGCCTGCTAGGGCTGCACCTTTAGGAAGGGAGACGTGATCTAAATACGAGTTTTTGTGCGGAACTCCCAAGCGTTGCACCACCGCTGACATATTTCCAAGTGATGGTTACAGCCTCTTGTAGGCAGGCTGCTGACTTTTTTAATAGTGTCCTCCAGACGTGCTAAAAGATAACTGAGTGCTGCAGTTTAAATGCCAACATCCTGTTCACGCTGTGCTCCTACTTTTGCTGGCATGGATGGAAACGCTTTTGTGATGAGCTCCCAAAATAGTGCTGGAAAGTTCCTGCTCTCTGCAAGCAGAGTGGAAGCCTGTTAATGTCCCTGTCACCTGCACAGAGCCTGCTACAGTGGTGAGCCACTTGTGCCAGTGGTTTTAAGAGCTGGACTCAGTTTGAAAGCTGTGCCAGTCATCAGTGACAGCTGGGAAAAAGGTGCTTTAACTCCTGTCTGCTGCTAGAATCTTGTCATGAGACTTGGGTACCTATTTGCAGGTTGGCACAGTTCTTCAAACTGGTCTCCTCGATAATAGGATTCATTCCTTAGCTATTCCCAAAGAGTCTTACCCAGTCCCAGCGTTAAGTCCTTTGAGAAAGCAATCCCTCCTACTTGTGGCAATCTGTTCTGTTTTCTCCATATAGCATCTTCCATAATGTTTAACTTCAGTATTTCCTACAACAGCTATCAGCGTAATTGATTGCTGTCCTCACTAAACATCTCTTTCCATTTTAATAGAGAGTGATCATGTTCATTATGCTCAATCTGTGAACATTTTTTGATGTCTACATGCTTTGTCTTGACTACAGAGCAGAGAAACAATTTATTTGACAGGGATTTAAGATTATCATATAAAAGCACAACTGTCCCAGGTAATAAAGCAGGCTGTTCTTTCAAGTTAAATTGCATGGTCACAGCAATGTGCACTGAAGAAAAGTCTTCCTGCACTGATTTCTGTAGGATTAGTGTATAATAAAAAGAAAACCACCGGGCATCCCAGAGACCCAATGCTCAAGACATGCAGGATACTAAACTGATGCAACACCTGATCTTTAAAAGTGAAGGTGCACTGCACCAGTCAGATGGAGTATACATCAAAGTCCATGGTGAGAAAAATCATGAAGACATGACATTTCTGAACTGGCCTCCTTCCTCTGTCCTTTTCCTTGCTGGCAGTATTGCATTTAGAAGCGTGCCATGCTAAGAGCATAATAGATTAAATCTGTTAACACACAGGTGTGCTCTACACCTTGTCTGCTAAGTGTGAGACAAAACAGGGCTGCACAAAGAATTGACTTTGCCAAGAAGAGTACAACCATCACGGAAAAGAAAAGAAAGAAAAAGGTAGATATCACATAAAATAGAAAAAGATAAAGGCATTCAATAAACTCAGCTGAGGGCTGATATTTCTTCATTTCCATCTGTGTTTCATAAATGGTATCACGCCAGTGTAGCTTTACCAATATGAAGTATGCCAAAATACGGTCAGGCAAGTGGCTCCTCAGCAGAAAATAGAGGGGTTGTCAGTGATTAAGAACTGATGTCTTTATAAGACTTTAGAACAAAATCTATGGCTGAAATACATGAAGTTGTCTAGTTGTAGAAATTGCACCAATTTAACTTAGATGAATTTAAAATCAGACTGTAAGATGTCAATGGAATTGTTCTTTGTCAATAAGCTTTTGGTGATTGCCATGAAGCGAAGGATGAATAAGAGTGCATAAAAGCTGTGTGGTGAATAAAAATTCAAATATTTCCATATTTGTCTTTTTCATGGAATAGTAATGCCTCGTGCCCCCTACTTGGTCTCTGTTTTTCTGAGTATTTTGTCAATTAGCGTATTGGAAGCATCCATTAGACTGTTTTCCTAAAGGAAGGAAAACAAACAGTATTATTCAAATTCACAGATTTTCAAGGTTTGTTTTCTATAATTTAGTTTTTCTCTGTAGCTTCTTGGCCTAAAGAGACACATCAAAGGGGCTCTGTTTTCTGCAATACAGTTTTCACCTGGGAAAATATTTTCACTGTTTCAGCTTCCCACGTCTCAGCAGAAAGTTTGTCAGCGTGTTTACTACTCATCCCTATTTGGTGCAGCCCTTCTCCTGGAATTCCTCTGCTTTATCAATCCTTAAGTCTCAGATATATCCTGTCCTTATTTTAATCATGTTGTGAAGTAAATGCTGGTGGAAGCCAGAGGTGGCAATGCCCGAGACTCTAGAACGTCAGAGCCCTCTGAGCTCTTCCTTTTCAGATTTCAGAGGAGAAGGAAAAAAACATTTCTCAAGCTGATTTACAGCAGCACCCTGATAAAAATCACATCTGGGCTATTTTTTCTACTAAATCACAGCTTTTACTAGACAAGCCACATTTAAAAAGCTGTAATTTTTCTGCAACCATAAAACAGGATAAAACACCCGTTTTGTTTAGCCCTGAGCGTGTAATCTCGGTGAGATCAGATTATAAATACTATAGCAGTCAAACACGATATGGTCTTATCAGGAGTTAGTCTGTTGTTTTGATTCTTTTTCATTATTCTTTGCATAATTCTGCTGTAAAAGTTTGCGTATTGCCTCTTGATAAAGGAAGGTATTTTGCTAGTCAGAATATCTGCAATAATTGATAGCATCTGATTAACAGTGAATTTTTCTTCCCGTGTGGTAGGTATCGCCTGGCCGGCCTCCCTGGAGAATACCAGTATAAGAACATCACCAGTGCAGAAATTAACTACTGCTTAGTGAAAGACCTGATCATTTGGACCCAGTATGAAATCCAGGTGGCGTCTTACAATGGAGCTGGGCTGGGAGCATTCAGCAGACCTGTGACAGAGTACACGTTACAGGGAGGTGAGCAAATCGGACCGATATATCCTTTATAGTTACAGTCTACAGCAGTTTCCTGAGGAGGAGATGTACTCTTGGATAGTCCCACCTAATGACTTGGAAAATCTTTGGTGAGTTCAGTCAAATTTGATGGACAGCTTGAGGTCAGAAAGTAGGAAAGAAGAAGGAAACACTTAGAATTTTCAAATGCTTAAGTAGAGACAAGATGAAACTCTGCTGCTGTCTCCATTGTAGAAAAAGCTGTGAGTGAATTCAAAAATTATCTATTTTTGTTGACCCTCGTGATGACATGGTACCACGCTTGCAGGTCAGAGTCACCCGCAGCATCGGTAATAAATAGAAATGCTGAATAGAGCTGGGGTCCCGTGGAATGAATTTATAGAACGTGTGACAGGCAGGGGCTGAGGTTACTCTGCCAGGAGAGGCAGAGGAGTGGGGTTCATTGTGGTCAACGTACGCGGTATGCCGCATATGCAACGTAGGAGACAAAAGCTGGGAACAGCAGCTGCATTGGCTCTGATAATCACGGAATACCTTGGTTTAGAAATATGGAATAAATTGTAAGGAAACTGTAGGGAGAGAAATACAGCCTGTGGAGAAAGAGGGATTTGTAGCATTTTGGGAATGGTGCAGACATTTGCGAAGAGGAAGATAAAATGATCTTTAAAGCCCTGGTTTTTATGCTACAGCTCCTCCACACCTTTCTGGTGAGTGCTTTCTTTTAAGAAGAGTATAAATTACATCAACAAAAGGATACGTAATTACTTTTTACAACCAGTGTAGGGCATGTTTACACCTCTAGATTGGTATAAAAATCTGTAGGATAATTAAGTACCAGGCCCTTAAAGCTTTCATATATTCCCATAATTGCAGAGTTGTGCTGGATTCTGAGCACTGGACAGTACATGGGCTCTACTTTATTGGTCATAAAACAATCCAACTATTTTAAAAACTTGCAGATTTACAGTGCATGAGTTACTTTACAATCAGTGAAGAACATGTAGTTGTTTGTTAATTGTTACTAGGAGTACATTATAAAATGATTAGATACAGTTTGAGGTGTAGGGAGATCTTTAAGAAAAGATTATTCATATGCAGCGCTAATTAACCAGAACAATTAAAGAAGGAAGGTAGCTATATTTTGGCTTAGGGCATGTAAAGTCTTGCAGTTTGGATGAGTCTAGACACACTCAACCTCTTTCTAGAAGTATTTATAGCAGACCTTGAAATGTTTCTCTTAAAGTCTTCTCCTTGCAGCCAGGATTAATGTTTTGTATCTCACTAAAGACCAGATCTCTGCTGAGAATTGGTTTGCATACAGAATTTTAATCTCTTTTGTGAATATGCTTGTAATTCATTACTTTGTTTATGTGCACATTATAAGCTATCTTAGCACCTTAACCTTCCATCTATTAAGACTGAGGTTTGGACTTCACACTCTTACTTAAACCCTGCAATTGACTCTAATTTCCCTCGATATTAGGTGCTGTTCTTGTCATCCTTTATTGACTGGCTGTCTGTTGTCATCTATAAGGATATAAGTCCTCTGTTATAAATTAAGTGTAGTCAGTTCTGCATTCATATTAATCAGCAAGTGTTTAGACTGCAAGACAACCTGCAGTGGCCTGTTGGTCTTTACGTAGTTCCTAAATGCTCAACAGTGGGTAGACATAGAAGAAAACCTGGATATTTCCTGTTCATTTTGTATCAATGTTTAGTAATAGCAGTAAATAACTATGTTATGGATGCTGCCATCTCCTAATGAAAGCCTTGCTGGGTTTCTGTGCAAATCACCAAAAGCATCCAGTCTGTTCTAAGAGGAGTTTGAAACCTTTTTACATTTCAAGTTGAAACGAGAGACTGGTTGGTATCAGTATAATTGGAAACTGGATTAATATCAGGTCTCCATATATAGTGCGCTACTGTCTGAAACTCTGCTCTTTTGTCTTGTCGTTGGGAAACGACAGGAAAAGCCAGTGGCTCTGGAATGTCCTTCCTAAACCAAAGCCGCAGGAGTAAGAAGAAGCCATATGTAAAACTGCCTTGTAAATCAAATTCTGATTTTAATATGAGTGGAGATAAATGTCAAAGACACACACTCCCATCCATCCCCCTCTCCTACTACCACCGCCACCACCTCTGTTCTGACATCCGTTAAATGATGTGAGCTATGCTGGCAAGAACCTGTCTGTCTAGGGATGAAAAATACCTGAAATATCTCATATTAATCAAGTGTGCTCTGCAGTCGAAGCCTGGCAGGAAATGAATGCTGGGAGTGGATCAACCCATTGGCAGGAGCAGATCAGCACATTGGCATCTTTGTCATGGGGAATATTGACTGCCCATATAAGCTGTGGATTTATACCAGAACCGAGTCTATTAATCCCTTATTAGTCCTCTGGGGTTGCTTTAGCCACTGATAACTAATCAGCTACTCAAAGCTCTTTGAAAATCACCAACTTCTAGAAGGTAGCCAAACTCATGAGATGCTGAAAGATCTCAACTTGAAGAGAAACTGGCACATAATGTCAGTTAGATAAAATGTCAGAAAGACTTACTGGCAAAGCACTGAACATCCTAGCACTGGGGTCAGACAGTTTGACTGTCTCTAAATCTTGAAAGCCTTTTTCAGAGTGATATTCAGCCTAATCCTTTGATGCTCTGGATATATAGGTCTTTCTTCATCAGAGTTTCTGCAGCTGTTCCTCACTTTGATGTTCCTTTTCACAGGGATTTGTGCCAGCCTTCTGCATAGGGCAATTTTTACTTATTTAAACAGTGTCCTGCAGGACTTTTCATTGCCATATGAAAAACTGAAGCTTCCCAATACCTTTTCTTATAAGGGTAGCTTTGTGAGATGTACATACATCTTTCTGCATGGTGATGATGATGTCTCTGCTCTGTAATATTGGACATGTTTACCTTTTCCTGCAGGTTGATTTGAGAAAGAAGCAGCTCCCATCCTTTACTTTGTGTCTGTCCCTTTTATCTCCCTAGCATGAATACTTCTGAATTTCTCTCTCTCTGAAAACCTCCCACCACTCCTTTATGTTTCGGCAAGGCAAGATTTATAAGAGAGTTTTCATTAGGCTCCTTGTACTGACATTAACCAACTTTTGTCTCTAGTTTAGGTGCTATGTTTTTATTTTAACACGTATCTCAAAAGCCAGTCTTACGTCCTCTCTATTTTTCTTTCTGTGCTGTGCTTGGACACCTTGAAAGGCCAGGAGAGTGAGCAAAAGGCCCTTCCTAAATAAAAGACTGGGAGAGTCACCAGTCTAGGGGGTCTTGGTGGTAGGGAGAGAAGGATAAAGGCAAGATGAGTCTGTTCAGCCAGGTCCAAAGTGGTTTTTTCATGGGCAGTAGGAGGTGAATCAGTTTTATCACTGGTAGGTGTCATTTGCCACTTATTGCCTTTTTTACAAAAGTTATTTCACAAAGGTTGTGAAATTAGCAGTTGCCTCGGTGAGGTCCCTGGCCCCCAGCTCTTCATGAAGAAGTCAGATCTTGTCCTTGTCAGAAGCATGCAAGGAAGGAAGATGATGTTTCAAGGCTCCAAGAAGCAAAACTCCTCAGGTAGTGCCAAATCTCCCACTACTGAATTTCAAATACCGGCATGTGTAGAATTGCACAGACTACTTTTTCTATACACCTGCTGCAGCTCAAAACACAGCAAAGGATGTCAGCTGGGGGCGCAGGGAACAGGCTTCCCATTCCCCACCAGGGATGCACGGCTTAGCACCCCAAGAACAACCAAATCTTAACGCGGAGAAAACCCTACAGTTCCCTGAGCCTGCCTTATTGAGACGTGGAAGCTGCCACCTCAAAGCTCGGGAGCTCTGGAGGAGCAGGAGACTTTTCTACCAGCCTCTGTTGGAGTTCTATATTTAAGAGCAGTAGCCCGGCTGTCAGAATCCCTGCAGGGTTTACATGCTATCTGCACATAGCTAGAGACAGCATAATTGCATGTACACATGCTTAACCTCCGTGCCTTCTCTTCTCTCAATTATCTCATCAGTGAAACCCTTTTAATGGCTTTTATCTAGAGTGCTTCCATGACCTTTTCTGCTTAGAATGCTCTGCATCAGCCTGCGGTCCCGGGGGCCGAGCTCTGAACAGATTTCCAACCACATGAACTTTATTGGGAAGAAAGTAACAGTTGGGTTTGTCTGACCAATTTGATTTGCAATTCTGAGATGACTCCCAGATGGGTCTCCACTGTGAGATGGTTCAGGAATACTTGCAAACAGGATGAAGAACAGGTTTAAAAACCCAGCATGTAAATGCTTGGGGATTGCTCTTGAAACACCTATTGACATTGGTAGGTTCTGTACTGATTGACAAGAAACTTGTAGGAATATCTACCACTGAATTAGAAAATTCTTTATGTGGACAGTTGCAGCTTCAGTAAGTTACTAACCGTGATCTTGGAAAAGTATTTGAGTTTTGAAGTGACCGGAAGGTCAATTCTGATTTAGCTTCTGGCAAAATTCTTTTCTTTTTTAAATGCAAAACTGTTCAGATACCCAAGTCTTTAATATCAGGACATAAAAGGAGAACTTTATACTGGCACTTTGAAGTAAATTTGAGATTTAATGCCAATGTTTTACTGATTAAAAATATAAAAATATATTACATCTTCTGCAGTATAATTAAGCTTATGCATATTAGATGGACTGCATTCTTTCCATCTTTTAAATGCATTCATCGAAATGCAGATGTTGATTTTTCAATATAGACGTCCAAAGAGGAATTGTAATATAAATCATGATTTCCAACATTCTGAAGATTTTATGTTTTCTGCTCATAATTTTTACTATTTTTCTTCTTTAGCAGGTACTTTTTGTGCTATGATGATTTATTCTTGTTTCAGGAAATTATTTCCTAATGAAAGACAAATATTTCCCTTTTTAAAAGAAATAACTGATGTATTTAGTTATCCATATTTCTAAAACTGTAGTAAACATGTCCTAAAGTGCTTGCCTGGGCTTTTTTGAGGTCTGTAAGAACCACAAATGAAAACTCGAAGCTTTCTGATACAGGTTTTTTCCTCTCTAAATTAATTTGCAATATTTTTAATTGTATCTAAAAGACTCATCAGGCACTTAGAATAAAATCCTTGTGATACTGAAATCATTGGAAGTTTCATATTCATTGTACAACATCCGTGGGATCCTCCACTGAAGAAAATAACGCCCACAGAAATGAAGCAGCAATGTGTCTGTGTTTCAGGAAAATGATAAAGGCAGAGGGCGTGTCCTGCTGGGAGCGGCTGTACCATTCCCTCAGGTCACCTCTACGTGTGTGTTGTGGTCTGGGAAAAACAGACTCTTCCTACCAGGTCCCTCAGGTCACCTCTACGTGCGTGTTATGGTCTGGGAAAAACAGACTCTTCCTACCAGTGCTGAAGTTCTGTGTTTCTTCACGTGTGGCTGTCAGTGGGCAGCATCTGGGTTGTGTATAGATTTTCTGTACAATAATTGTGTTACGAAATCAGCCCAGCACATGGAGAGTTCTCATGTAGCAGCTCAGCAGAGGAGGAGGGAGTGGAGAGGAGAGGATGATCCTCAGCTGATTTAGCCCTCATGACAGAAGATTAGTCTATCAATGATATCCAGGTGACTTTCTGATAAAAAAAAACTCACCTGAAGGCTTCTAATACAGTTTTCTTCTGCAATAACAAATCTCTGGCAGTTACAATATCTGAATATGCAAATGTGCAGGAAAGTAAGAATTTTGATTTTTTTTTTTAATCTTATTCACATTAACCATTAATTGTACAAAGTATTGCACACAGAAGCAAATTGAAGTACATCTTGTGGCTCTCGTAATAAACAGTTTCATTAAAGAGGGTGAATAAGAAAAAAAACACATTTAGTAGGGGACTGTAGCCAAAGCAGCTCGTTATGACTGTGGAGTGACTTCAATATATATGACTGAATATCAGGATGATGTGGTGAATCTCTTAACTACGAAAACTTTATGATGTCTACAGGTCGTTAAGATGATATTATAACCTTCCAAAAGCATACAGGGAGTTATGATACATGGCAGAAAGCAGAACCCAGATTCTAATGAAAATTTAGAGTAGTATCAGATAAATTCTGGTTTTAGAACTCAATAATTATGCATAGTTCATAAATTGTGACATCAAGTTTTAAATTAGGATGAGAAAATTCTAAGGAGTGTGCAGTTTCTGAGGTTAAAAACAAATGTGCAGAGCTAAATTTTCAAGCCATGGCAGACATCAGGGAGTTCTAGTGGGACACAGAGCATGAAAGGGGATGTTCTTGTCATTTCAGACCTGACATCTTGGAGGATTTCTCCATTTTTCTGTGTTGATGTTTCTAGGTTGTGGATGTCTTTGCTAAGTGTACGCTGCCCTGGCTCTGTTGGCTGCAGTCTCGTTATAGCTCGTACACCAGTTAAGAATAATGCCCCTTTATGTCTCTTTCAAACAAACATAGCTTTTGCTGGACAAATTTTTACATTTTTGAACTTGATTTCTTCTCCATACAAAGATTCATCTTCCAAAAGTAATTTGAAGTTTTAAAAGTTTGTGACCTGTTGTTGAAAAGTACTGAGCAAACCCCCATTTCTCAATGGGAACTGGGGATGCTTTTTAGAAGCCTGGGTCATTGGGCTTTGGTAGAAATTTTCCCTTGGGAGAAGGAGGAATAAAACTTTCCAGGCTTCAAAACCACTTGTGGATAGTTTCTCTTTTGTAGACTACAAATGCACATGGCTGTCAACAGTAATATTTTTGAAGCTTTATTAAACTTACTTTAAAGGATTCAAAGGGTATTAGTCCATTTTTTATACTCAATAGCAGTTTTCTTCTTAAACTTACCACAAGCTTGATAATTTCAGAAAAAAATAGACCTGTTTGTTAGTATCCTTTCCTCTGAGAACTATAGAAATGACATCCTAAAGCAGTAAGTTTAAGAAATTGCCTGGGAGGTATTTAAAGAGATGTGTTATTAAATGGCAAAATATTTAGGTGTTATTTTTTGTCGTTTGAAGGCAGCATGGCTTTAAGTTCCGTGCTTTCTTTTGTATTGAGAAAACATCTGTCTAATTAAATACTTGGCATAAAATGTTTATGCAACTTTTAGTAGATTAGAGGATGTATTGGCTCAGAATACGTATAATCAATTCAATATACATGAATGAATATCATCTCAAGATAAAATGGGAACATCTCCAATTCCCAAGAAAAATTTGTATTGCGCGTGATATGACTGGTCCTAATTCTTTAAGCAGCAGTAAATAATAAACAGATGCTGTCGCCAGATCATAATTCACAATTAAGAGTTTTAATTGTGCAAGCTCCATGTTTGCTTGTCTGAGCTGAAGAATTGTGCAGTATTAAAAGACTCAAGAAATTTCTTTCTGAAACTGTTCAGTCTCTGTGCAGTCATGGATAATTGAAAGAGATGTGTTCACCTATCGCTGCCTAGCTTCTGTCTCAAGTCTTCATGAGAAACTCATCTGTGGAATAATAAGCTGCAGAAATCATTTCATCCCCTCCCCTTGAAAGAATCTCCAGTACAGGATGAGAAATTAACCCAATTACCCTTCTTTCCAAATCATCGCTGGTTACCATTTTACAAAGAGTGCATTCTTTTCTCCAGGTTGTTATTGCTTTGTAGCTCGTCACAGTGAATAGCTTTTCTCTTTTTTTCCCCCCTCATCCCTCCTCTGCTCTGTTTTTTTTTTGGTTTTTTTTTGGTTTCCCTCTGTGCTGGCCGGGAGCAGTTCCTACAGCCCCACCGCAGAACGTGCAAGTCGAAGCTGTGAACTCCACAACCATCCAGTTCCTCTGGAACCCTCCGCCCCAACAGTTCATCAATGGAATTAACCAAGGATACAAGGTAAGTAGAAACAACATTTCTGGAACCCCAAATAACATTTGCCTTGACAGTCCTGGTATATGACATTTAGAAGTTGAATCGAATAATCTCTGAATCTCCAGAGCGACTGTATATTTTCAGGGGTATCCGACAGGAGTGAAATAGAGAAGCGAGCAGTTGTTGCTCCTAACAATTGCTAATTTATGTGAGTTCTGAAAAGGAAATGTGTCATAGGCTAGAAGTCCTAATACCTTTGTCATTTATCTGGAGAGCTTCCAAAGCCAAAAAGCAGTTCAGTGTCAAACAGTTTGGAAAGCCAGCACGGGAGGTACGCTGTTGTGCCACTGAAAATCAGGCTTGAGATTTCTGTGTCCTCTAATGCGAAATTCCCGTTCATTTCATTAGGAGCCAAGACATCACGCTAAATATTTGTCTGAACTTTCCCGCTGTGATGATTTGGGAGATGTAAGAATGTAAAATTTATTAATCACGCTTGATGACATGGAGTTAGCTTGATAAGTCGCTGTTGATGGGACAACTGGCAGTATCTATTACGGTACGCAGGGTAGAGAGTGCTTCACCCAGCACTTGCTGGTACTTTGCCCAGTGGAGTGGATGCGAAGAACGTAGCTGGAGTGGTTTATTTCTGTCTCTCGGAAAGGAGTGCTTAATGGAAACTCCTTCGATGGTTTGGCAGTAGGGGCATAAGAAATGAAGGGTTTAAAAAAGATTCATGGAGAGAACAAAGAGAAATTTTGTAGGAATCACAGAGCAGGAAAAGGGAAGACAGGGATCATTTATGAGCATAGAGGAGGAAGGTTGATTTGGGTGTTGGGTGACCTGAGAAGGATGTGTAGTTCAGAAGACAAGCTGCAAGTTAAGGGATGGTAGGTGCATTTTAGAAGTTTTGGGAGACTTGATCCTTCTGTAAGAATTCCTCAAAGTGATGGAGAAACCGAGACAGAGGTCTGCATGGGAGTTTTAGTATTTTTCCCATCTGTATATTTCTCATAAAAACCAGTGATGGTTCCAGAATCCCACTACTGAAGTACTATAGACATGTAGATGGGTATGTCTGTTTTTCCAGAGACAGAATCAGCTCTCAGGACTAGGTGACTGACAGGGCTGCAAGCGTATATCCTGAAACCTCACTGTAGAAGTAGTAATTGGCTCCTGTTCAGACTCTGGAGAAAAAAAAGCACTTTTGGGGCTCACTGGACTGCAGTGCACTATAATTTCTGGTGCAAGTCCAAGCAGGGTGAGCTCAGTCAGATTTGCAAAAGTCATATTTCAGATTTTTCTTCTTTCTTTCCAGAGTCTCAGTCTAAAGATCCTTAGTCTCATCACATAGCTACTTCTAATTTATATTTCAGTTTTTTTAGCAATGGTATAAAATAACTGCAATCATAATTTGTATCTGTCAGTGGTCAGTCAGTGAAAACTTTTGAAATGACGTGAATTTCTCTTTACTTGGACTTTTTTGATTGCAGTAGATTGCAGCAGCTTTACCATTCCTGTTTCTCATGGGGATTGTGAATTGCAGTATAAAGTCTGTGTGAGAACGTTTCTGTCAGTGACTTCTTTTGCATAGTTTTTTGTATGATTTATAAATTACTAGTCGTCGAAGCTAGGCCTTTGCTTTTCTGAAGGATTAAATACGTTTGTTTTCCTTTAACTGGTGGAATTGTTCCCCTTTATTTTCTGCACATTTCCTGAAGACTGTACAATGAAATGTACTCCAGAAAGAGAGAACTTCGGTCCTTCAAAGTTATAAATGCCAATTGTAATCCACAAAGGCGATTTAGAAAATAAAATAAAACTTACTATTCCATCAACCATTTCCCATTTTTATATTTTCTTTGAAATGTATTTGCATTTCCAGAAGCTGTAAAGTGCACCTTTTCACATATGAAATATTCCCAACAAAATTACCCCTTACAGTCCTCTAACTGTGCTTTCTGATGATCAGAAACTGTAGACATTGGCTAAATGTGTCAAATATGGCTCATTAATTTCAGGCATCTCTTCATGTTTATGAGCCTGAAATCAATACAAGCAGCACGATTTACACAGGTACTGGGTGAGGTCTCGAATTTTAACATGCTTATATGAGACACAAGCTAAAGATTTTTGGACAAAATAAAGATTTCATAAGCACTTTAAAGCTTTAGATCCCTAAGCCCTGAAGGCAATTTCAAAAATTGTTTTAAAATTGCAAAGTCATTTGCCAAAAATGAATTTTTTAAGTCCTCGTTTAGGTACCTCCACATAAGGTACTCCACTCTAAAAAATATTGATCACCCAGAAGATCCATCGAGATGAGCAAAACTGGAAGAACTGAGCGCATCTGGCAAGCACGCTGCTTTAAATGCATGAAAATGTCTTCAGGAGTCGAACTGTTGAGACCTAGGCGCTGAAAATCATAGTAATCATCTTTACAACCATTTTCTATTCTTTCTGTAGTTGCAGAACCATTTGAATCATTCACAGCGTGGATATCCCCAAAGCACCGAACGCTGCAATACCCTTCGCCCGTTGGGCTGGGCTGGTCAGTGGGATGCTGGGGGGGTCTGTGGAAGGGGAAGGAGGATTCCCCTGCCCCATCCCACTATCCTCCCCAGCCAGTGGGATCTTTAAAGGAACTCCAAAATAAGAGAAAAGCATTTAGCTCAGAGTAGCACTGAAAGTACTTTTTTTCCCTCCAGCTTCCTTTCAGCAGCAGACTGTTCGGGCTGGTCAGAGCAGCCCAGAGAGAGGCAAAAGACTCGTGTCGTACAAATAATAATTCACAATAATTTTGGCATTGTTCAGTAGCAGACATTGAGACTTGCAATACCTCCACGGTATCAGTACGTCCCCCATCACTAGTGAGTATTACACACATCCCTCCAGTTATCACAGTAACCGTGTTCTATCCATCTGTTCGGCATCAGAGCTGACAGTAGTTTAACGGCATTGCTTGTTTTTTACAATCAGATTAAGATGGGTTTGGCAGCCAAGCTTACTTGGATTCCAAATAGAAACGATTTCTGATGAGAACTCATCCACCTTTCAATTTTCTAGCTTCTAGCGTGGCCAGTGGATGCTCCAGAGACTGTGACTGTGGTCACCATCGCTCCAGATTTTCATGGGGTTCATAGTGGCTGCATCACCAACCTGAAGAAATACACCACTTACTACACGTCGGTTCTGTGTTTCACCACACCTGGAGATGGACCACGAAGCACACCGCAGCTCCTGCGCACCCTTGAAGACAGTGAGTAGTCACTACTGGTAGAGACTCTCAGTGCTCAGATTTTGTTTGGTTGAAGATAAAAGCTAGAATTTTCAAATCTGGTGCTTAAAATTTGCACTCTCTTGTCACGTTACCTTGCATTGGATGATGACCTCAGCCAGTTGTCCATGTATGTTCTTTTAGCCTGTGGTAAATGAGTGATATTGGATGTTTTTTTTCATTATGGACTAACCCTGGATGAATTTTTTACATTGGTCAGAAGCTGAAAGCTTCATAGTCTGGTTCAGCTAACAAACACCCCGTTGTTTATGTCTGTGAACACTTATGCTCTTAAATCCATGTTCAGGCATCCAAATAGATGTGAATTGATCTTCTTAGGAACTGACCACTGGAACTTCCCATGGAGGTCAATGATTAATTTATGATTGTTTCCTTCTTTTATTCAATATATTGAAAATGTCTGTGTCTATATTATATTGCAGGTGTTTGTATAAAAGAACAAGGATCATAACGATTCAGAATTAACTTTTATTCTGCAAAGCTGGAGTCAGGATGAAATAAAATTATCTGGATAGTTTAGCATATAAATTATTTCCTGCATCAGAAAATGTTTTGGCCTCTGTGGCCCCTTGGAAGTGTTTGCTCAAGATGTTTTTGGGACTAGCCTGTGTCTGATGCAGATAAAAACTAAATTGCAGCGGCCCTCACAGCTAACTGGGTGTTCACAGCGATCTTGGCTCTGGCCAGCGCTTCAGTGTCTTCAGAAAATTAAATAGTTTCCCATGGATTTTCCTTTTGTGGCCAGTCTCCTCCATACACTAGACCTCTGCCCCAAGAGCAGGTCGTAGACTTAAACCTTTGCTCGTTAGAAGATCCCAGAGGTGGCAATTTAACTACCAGAGATCTACGTGAACCATTAATATGAACTCTGGGGTTGAAGCAAAAGGCATGGAGGAAAGGGAAACATGCATTAGGTTCCTGTGTGTCGTATTAACTTTTTTGCCTGTTTTCCTCATGAAATGAAGCTTTTGTCAGTGATGGTTTGTAAATGATCTCGACTGTCTTAGGTCCATCTGTCTTTCCCCCTCCACCGACATTTGGACCCTGTAGCTAATTGCAGTGAGTACAGAAGAGTAAGAAACTGAAGAGACAACAGTCCTAAGATTTTGAAAAAATCAATCAGATGGGAATAAGAAAGAGACTTTTAATATTTCTCCTGAAGGGAAGACTTCAAAAATGACACTTAAAGACTTCGCACAAAGTGGGAGAAGGAGCATAGTCAAGACATGGAGAGTATCAGGGAAATATTGGGACACACAAGAAAATTCCATCATGAAACACAAAACGAGAGAAAGCCAGACTTGTGTTCTGTAAAACATTTAAACCATTTCTTAGTGTATGCAGCCATGTGCTGCAAGGAGCCTCAGCATTGGAGATAAGCAGGATTTTTTTTTTAAATGCTTCAGGATTGCTTTCCTCTGTTTTCATGGTGACTGAGGAGTTAAGTGCAGGATGGTATAATGCATCTTTGCAGAGAACTCATTGAATCTAAGTTGTTTCAGGATTTATGTGGTAGGAAAAAAGATTCGAAAGGACTGTCATTCATGTTCTCAGGTGATAATTTTCTGTCTGTATAGCAAATTCAGGCAATCCTTTAGGAAAAAAAAATAGCGCAAACAGATCTATCTGCTGATGAACTGTAGGTCAAATAAAATCTGACATGCGGGGAGAAGCATTGTGTCCTGGCTTGGAGAAACCTGCACCTGGTTTTCATTAAAACATTAAAATTGGACTGCAACAGCGGGAGCTAATTGGAGTAAAGCTTTGCGAGTATGCAGTTTGCATGTCTGCAGATCCATGGTCCCAAATAGTCCATAATTGCTGTGCTCTTGTTGGATATTCCTGAGATCACTACCAGATCAGCAGTTCTCTCTGTAATGCTTTGACTACTAGATATCGCAGAATGGATTTGGAAATTTCCCTCGCTAGGATTGCAGAATTGCAAATGTAGCTGACCTACTGGCAGGGTCCTTTTTTTTTTTTTTTTTATCATAGCTGGAGGGGAATGAAAAACCAGACTAAAGTGAAGAGGAAACAAAATATGAAATTGCAGATGAGAAATTGCCAACTGATGTCAGTGGAGCTGGAGGATACTCGGGCAGGGATCCAATGACAGAAGCACAGTGAATATAAAGTGAACAAAAACTCCTTTTTCCAGTACATCGATTGAAGACAGAACAGTAGTTGGATCAAAAATCAGTCAGGATGTCTTCCTTGAAGATCAAAATTGAGGGAGGATGGCATATTCTTGACAGTCATTCCATTTTATGCTCTTTCATTGCACACTAGGGAGCTGAAATTTTTAAGAGCTCTTGAGCTACATCATAAAAATCCTTTAAAAGTTTCACACACTTGTATTCATTTTACAGAAGACAGTTGCCATTATGTTGGACGTTTTTAGAGTTGTTTTGAGAGTATCTATCCAAGCAGAGGCTCGGTGACTCTGTCCTTGCTCTGACCTTGCATAGGCAAAAGGCTCTTTCCAGGTGAGGGGGATGCTGGTGGTGCTGCTGCAGCCCCAAGGGCGACTGAGCCACACGCAGCAGCACAGGTAAACGCTGTTGAGGGAAAACAGCAAACACAATCGCTTCCAGAATTGCCAGCTTGATTGTTCTAATTAGATTAGATCAAGAAGAGAGGCTGAGAACAAGTTGCGTGCAAGTCTCCTGCTGCCGCTCTCTGTAGTTCTCTGCACAGTTAGGATGATGACTAGAGAAAATTAATTTATGCCGTGGTAGCCAGAGTGCTTCTTAACACCTTGTGTTCTCCCCTCTCCCCCGCAGCTCTCACTGATGTTTCCAGCAGGCTTCCCCTCAGCCCCGGCTCAGTGTTTTATTTCTTTAGCCATAACCTTGCCGTGTGAATCAGATCAGAAGTATGTGGGGTTCTCCTGTTAACAGATTTCCTTTTCTGATTGCCAGAGCCCGGAGCGGTGGGACACCTGAGTTTCACTGAGATTCTGGACACGTCTCTCAAGGTCAGCTGGCAAGAACCTGTAGAGAAAAATGGCATCATTATAGGCAAGTATCACCTGCTATCTCCCTTTTTATTTTTTTTTCAAGTGTGTGTGGGGCGGAATGTATCATCACAGTGAAGAAATGTTTGTGTAATAGAGCATTTATGGAGGACTGGCTATGGCGAGCGCTGGTTTCCTGGTCCCTCGTTTGGGTAATTGAAATGTCAGCTAGGGCACATTATAGAAAGTACGGGTCCAATTACTGGCAGCTCATGATTGTGGTCACTGAAAAGGCAGTCTGTATTAGAAATCAGCTCCCTGCGGAGTTTCTGGTCTTGTTAAATCTTCCGTGACCTCCACCTGTGTTACTCAATTTCTGAAACTTGGTGAGATGGTGTTTGGCCTTTGCCCGAAAGGTAAGGGGGTTCCTACATGGAGTTTACAGCTGTAAAATCTGGGTTGACGTGGCTAAGATTGGCAATCAAGACCAAACCTGAAATCAGCAGTATCCTTCATCTGTGATGAAGTGGTCTGGCTGTGGACTGCATTTGCATGTCATTACTTAATTTCGTATAAACCATCGCAAGGGTTCAGAACTCTCTTGTTTCTCTTTGATGAGCTTGCCATTTGACAAGCTATTTATCTATTTACTCTATGCCAGTGTAGATACAACAGCGGCAACTTCATTATTTTTCATCAAGGAAGCTATAAATAGTTGAGAAAAACTCTAGTTCTTATCAACAGAGGCAATATTGTCTTCAGATGAGAAACTATTGCAGCTGCACAGGATGGACATTCCATTTAACAAAGATTTCAAGGTTTTGAAGTGCAAGAAAGCTCCAAATTACTGGAACTAAAATCTTAATTGGGAAGGGAGAAGATCATTTCACATGGATCAAAAGATTTTGTTTTGGGAGCATTGACATGGAGATGTTTAATTTTTTTTTAATTGTATAGTAATTTGTAAAATTTAAGTACATTTTAGGAGTTTAAGAAAAAATCACTTTCTGACCCTTGAACATTGAAAAGTTACATCAGTCTGATTTCCTGAAGCATTTTAACTTTGACAGGTCGAATTATTTTGGTAGGACTTGTCGGTGTTTTCTCTGTGTACCTGTAATATGCACCATTTGTACGTGTCTCTTCCGTGCTGTTTCTGGTATATGTGGGGCCCTTATGCAGATCATCTTACACCTTTATACCGTAGTAACCTTCCTGAAATAGGCATTGATTTAAGTGGTTTGAGAACAGATACTGATGACTTCTGAAAGCAGAGCAGTATTGATCTGGTGAAGATGGCCAAAGCTTTCAAGCCCCAGTGCTTAAATTTGGGTACCTCCTCGATACTTGGCTAAGTGAGATGATGCAATACTCATCCTTGTTAACACAAGTTAGCAGCACTACGCTTAGTGTTGCAGAATTACTTTGTTAGAAACAAGCTCCTGCCTCCCAGAATGGATTGAAACCTGGTGGAGCATGGTGATGGAATGTGTTATATTTGGGGCAAGTTGTTTCAGAAGGAATTAACTCAAGCAGCTCTGTTGTTCGTGAAGAAACACCAGTGTAAAAATGCCCAGCAAAGCTTATAAGGAAAAAGGAGCATCCTTAATGATGCAAATTGCATTCAGGATAGAAGAAAAGAAAGTAAAATTGTTCATGCCCTGAGTACCTCAAAGGTTTGTAGAGGGCTGCTTGGGGATTTGAGTGCTAAGGGAGGCAATTATTCATCATCTCTGCTCGTTGATATCTTTACTGGCCCTTCTTGTTCCATGCAGTGGAGCTGGGAGGAGGAAAGCCAGAGGGTGGTGCCCAGCAGCCAGCCAGCTCGGGGAAATTGCCCATTACTCTTGCTGTAAATCTCCGTCTCTTCCTCGCTCCCTCAGTAAACACTGATTTATGAGGACCTGGATGTAGACGGACAGTTTGTGATTGGGTATACTGCTCTCTCGTAGATAATTTACTCCAGATCAACAGAAAATTATTTCTGAAACTCCTCTGGTCATTAGTTTCCGTTAGGCAGCGTGTTGTGGAGGGGGTACGGTGCCAAAGCACACGGGAAGGCTCCGTGGCACCGTTCCTCTTCTCCCTTACGCAGAAGCCAGAGGAAGCACTCGCAGCCCGGCCGGCTGGGCTCCCCCGCGCACATTCCTGGCAGGGATCACGTCTGTAAAACAGTGAGCGCATTTTTACCAACCACATGTCCTAAAGTTCTGCCCATCTGTCAGTCATTGTGGCTTAAGTGCTACTTGGGGGTGCGGTGGATGTTGTTCCTTTCCTTCAGCGTTTTTTCAGCTGTTTTTGTTCCGCATGGTTACGTTTGGCTTTGTGGCTGCTCAGTATGTATGTACGTATTTTCTGTTTGCATGTTATTATACAACTAGAATTTAACTGTATATTGGGGACTGAAATATCCAGCAGTAAATGCTGCCTCTTTGCCTTTTCATCAATTTGCGTGTAAACTCAGGATATTTTTCCCAGTGAATGTTTTTTTTTCAGTAAATAAATACATAGAGACTATGTGCCTAATGGGTGGCAAAGCCAGGTCTCATCCCTATAGTCACAAGGGAGAAAACATAAAATGTTCAAAGAATAATCACCAATATTTGATGTACATCCAAAGCTTATCTAGATGGGAGAGAAGATATCTCAATCGCTTAAGATTGCCTAGCGCATGGGGGATGAAACTTCTTGTTGTTTGTAAGCAACAAATGCAGAGAGGGAGAGAATTAGAAGTCCCCTGCTTATCTTCTGGGTATTTATTGCTCTGAGCAACACATTTGGTTTTATTCTGAGGTGACACTCCTTGGTTCCCTCTGCCAGCCCGTGTGTAGGGTTCAGGCAGGGGGAGCCGGGTTGGCCGCAGCTCCCGGGCAGACAACGGCCTCGGCTCCATCCACGGCTGCACGTGGACGTTCTGCTGGCTGGGGATACAGCTGCTGGGTTTGTGTCCTCTGCTGGGAAGAGGCACAGTTGCACCTTCCTTGGACTCTTTATTCCTCCACATTGCCCTGTCTGGAATAAACAGCACCCACGGCTTTTGAAAGAAAAGGGTGTTTGTGATGGTTGTTCTGTTTGAAACTCCTTCGTGCCTCTTCGCTGAGCATCAGAGGGGACAGTCAGCCCCCACCTTTCCCTTCACCCCCTGTTAATAAAGGCAACAGAGTCCTTCAATTCTCTCAAAATCTTCATATGGATTATAATGTTGCCTGTGCTACATAAACTCTGATCACCGGTGAGTGATTCTTGAGCCTTTTCAGAGACCAGTGAAACACCACAGTGTCTCAGAGATGTTGGTAAATTACTGGCTTAATTAATTTCCATTCAGACACTTACTTAAAACTGGTTCCAGGTGAGCATTTGGGAGCTTCTCCCCTTCCCCTAGGTAGTGCATGGTCAAGTCAGGCAGTTGTGGTGTAGCTGTAATTGCTGAAGTATCGCCTCTCTTTATCACTGCCCCTCACCTGACACATAATTAGTGACTATGGGAGTACTCTGAGCCCGTTTTTGTGCAAAATTAGGTTAATGTGAATCTCTGCCAGTGACGGCAGCATCAGAGGAAGAATAACTTCTCACACCTCTAACTCTCACTGAAATATTTGTCTCACTATGGTTTTAGCTCATGAGATGATGTTTCCTTGTTGATTAATATCATAAGGTACTTTGCTATGTCAACTTGTATATGTTCATCAGCTTATCATGATTTTTTTAAAAAAAAAAAAGAAGAAAAAACCTCAAGCCCCCCAATGGGTCTGAATTCCTCATCTTAGATGATGGGTCCAGGAACCCAGTAGGGAGTTTCTCTGGCTGGCTTGCCTCATGCATGGTTCACTCCGTAGGGTTCCTTTCTGTTAGTCCTTTTCACTCACTTCCATTTCACAGGCATTCAAGAGCTATGTGTATTTTTTTCCCCCCTGAGTCAAATCACAAAGAAAGCTGCAATCAAGCAAACTTTTCAGACACGCTCTCTGGAGACTGGCACAGTGAGGTTCAAATGGGTTCAAACGAGAACAAAGTGGGACTGGGCAGGAGGAGGAGGACAAGTGGATTTGGAGGTAAAATCGAGCAAATCAGACAGTAGAAAGTTTCAAAAGTTCTTGGAAGGCAAATGGTTATGAAAGTGATAAAAAGGAAAGGCTGGTTATGATAGAAGAATAATACGGAGGTCAGGGTGAGTGCAGTTCTGGACAATGCATTGGCTACACCGTGGTTTCGAAAGAAAGGATAATGATTCACCCTGCTAAAGGATTTCTGCGAGAACAAGCAGTGGGGAGTAGAGGTTTTTCAGTTCCTAGAAGATTCCCACAGCAGTGAAGGTTACTTCAGCCTGGAAAGGGAGTAGCCCTGCTAAGCACGTAGAGATTTTTATAGTTAGATATTCCAGCTGGTGAGAAGATGATATCTTTTCCAGTGTTTCTTCCTGTTTGCTTCGTAGAGTTCACAGAATGAAAGTCCATCTTTCTGTGAGATGATCCCCAGGTCTCCTGGCCATTCATAGCAAGCACTGTATCGTGATAGAAAAAAGAGTCAGTCTGTTGAGGCTCCATGTCCTCCCCCATCTGTAATCTGATGGGCAGATGATACCCATGCGGTACCTACATCAATCACTTATTAGAAATAACAATATTAGAAAAATACTTGGGTATTTTAGCCAGTGTTTACTTCAGTTTATTTTTTTCTCGTTATAAAAGGTGACCACAATGGAGGAGAGTAAGAAACGAGTCGTGCCACCATTGACCACACGCAAATCTTGCAGATGCGGGAATTTACCGGTCTCTGGTTTATCGTATAAAAAACTTCCTTTAGCAGAAAAACTAGAATCCACCACTGCTACAGCCCCCTGACTGCCGTGTGATTGTTTTTCAGGGTACCAGATCTCCTGGGAGGTGTATGGCAGGAATGAATCACGTCTTGCCCGCACGCTATCCAACACAACGCTGGAGTACAAGATCACGGGGTTGTCGTCTCTCACCACCTACACCATCGAGGTGGCAGCCGTGACCGCAAAAGGCAGCGGATGGGTCACGTCCTCCACCATCTCTTCTGGTGTGCCCCCAGGTTGGTAAAACTCTGTGAAACAACTTAAAATGAGCTGATTCTTCATATTTTTCAAAGATCATAATTTATTTGAGTTCAGTAATTATAAAAATTGTTTTATTTGTAGAGCACTGTAATTCTTTACCATATAATTGAAATTTAATTTTTAGAACAGATTAAAATGTTACCGTAAACACACTTGCAATTTGAAATTACAAGAAAATGGAGGCTGTTTAATACAAATACAAAAAAAGAAAAAGTTGTGGGGATGTCAGAAGGAATGGACAAAGTAATAAAGTGGATACCATACAGAATCTCTTGACATTTACACAGTAACATAAGAATGAAGCCTGAATCAACTCCAACAAGTGTTGCTTTGAGGGAAAAAATGGAGTTTGGATGATGTTAAAAGGGAAATTTGTTCCATTTATAAGTAGTATAGCTTATGTCACCTGTTAGAGGACACTTGTATAATGGAACTAAAATCTGATTTACCCAATTTGGGAGCTGGACACAGGAAAGATTTGGGAGGAGATAGTCCTGTACTGCATTGCCTGCGTTACTATTTGGGCACCTGTAAATTTAGCCTTTTTGCTTTTTTTTTTTTTTTTTTTTAAACTCTGCGCTCTCCCTCATCCGGTATAGAAAGCAAACTAAAAAGCCAATTCTTACCTCAAACAAGCAGTTTCAGTTAATTTATAGGTTATACAAGTAGAATTCTCCAAAGTGGAGCAGTTAGTGTCTACCACTGATCGTAATCCGGTTTTTCCCTTTTCTGGTATTTTTGAAATTTTCTGTATGTCTTGAAGTATGCATGCCTTTCTTGTCCCTAATCATAGGTAATTCTAACAAGCTGTAGACAAGATCAATGCCATGCTCCCTGTTGCTAGCCAGATAACAGCGTTATCCTACTTGGTCAGGGTTAGTTTATTGATCATAGTTCCCACAAATGTGAAGTAAGAATCAAGAAATATTGTGTATTTGTGCATACTTGAAATATATGCCAAAAAGCTGCCCATTTTTTGCCTGTTGCATTTGCACATAGTATGACATTATGAATGATTACTGATATAACAGTAATTTCCATTACTTACGAATGCAGGTGCTATTGGGAATTTATTCTAAACAATCCATATTTAATCTCTTTCCTGGGCTTGCTTTTGTTGATGATTCAGATAATATTAAAAATGTAAATGCCACTGTAAGCTTGACTGATGTGAGGCAACGATCAGATTGGGGCTGCAGATTTTTTCCTTGTAGAAGGTCACCCTCTTTATTTGCAATAGAAATTTAACAAAATTCATCTACTTTATCCAGGCACCAGAAATACCCTCTAAAACCCATCCATTATAGGTCAATATAAGAATCACAAAATCTTCCCCATGCACCACCCAAAAAAATTAGTCTTTTTCTGTTATTAATATATTAAAGTTGTATGTACTCTATAGAGATAAGTTAAAAATTACTCATTTAATTCTGGAGAAACAGAAGTACAGTGGAATTAGGTGACTTGACGAGTGATGGGCAGATCTGGAGCTGGGAACTACCTTCCCCCTGAGCCACCAAGCTTTGTCAGTTGTGCGATTTCTCTAAAATAGCAGCTGTGGTTCTGTAGATGGGCTCTTTCCTTTCTCATTTGATCTGTAAAAATGTGGTGCACGCTCAGAGCAGCAGAAATAGTAATGCTGTATGTAATACTCTACCAAAAAGGAAAAAAAAAACCAAAAAACAAAAAACCAAACCAATACACCATGTAGCTATTTGCTCTATAATGTTACCAAGCTATTTTTATATACTGAAATGCTCAATGTCAACCTGTGTTTCTGGGCCCCAGACAAAGAGTGTTTCCACCTCTCTTTTGCATTTCTCTTTCTTCAGAACTCCCAGGTGCTCCATCCAACCTGGTGATTTCCAACATCAGCCCTCGCTCCGCCACGCTCCAGTTCCGGCCGGGGTATGACGGCAAAACCTCCATCTCCAAGTGGATAGTCGAAGGGCAGGTATGTCCCTGAGAAAAAGCTCTTAATGAAGTTTCTGAGGGGTTAGAAAGGGTCTAAGAAGTGAATTGGTGTTTGGATTACAGTTTTTGATTAACTTTGGATCAAAGCTCTTCAGTAAACGGGCTGGTGGTAGCTGTTGGGGGGTTCTGGGGAGGCTGGTGTGCAAGGGAGCTCGGGAGGCTTAGCTCTGAAGTGTCTGTGTGGTAGCTGGTGAGAAAAGGGTTGTATGAATGGTGTAACTTCTATTCAGAGGAACAAAAGAAAAATATTCTGTATAAATATATAAAAATGTGAGAATGTTTATCCTTTAATAATTCACAGGGATTTTTGTAAAGCAGCTTTGCTTACATTGAGAACACCAGATGCGTCTTAAGCAACACATACAGCAGAGCTGAAGTCCATCCATTTGTGTAAAAACAGATTTGAAACTTGTGTTTAGCTTCTGATAGGTGTATTTTCAAACCAGATGCAAACCTGGAATTACTGTCTCATAGAGTCAGAAATGCAGGAAGAATTGCACTGAACGGCCAAGATACCGTTATTTGTGAGACTGAGTGTATTTTTCTGTCTTGTAACGGAATGTACTGAGGTTTTCTGTTCAGGCCTCTAGATATGGATAGGATGAAGTCTCTTCTTCGTCAGCTTTAAACAATATCCCTCTTCCTGCTGTCGTTATGCCTTGGAGGAGCTATATATTCCTCATTTGTTCTCCTGACAGATGAGCTTTGCTTCTTCCTTTCCATCCACAGATCTTTATAAATAATATAATCTGTTTTTAAGACCAAATGTTGGACTTCTTAAATCATTGTCACCACTTAGACATGTTGGTACAATCTCTTCAGTTGGTAGTGAGATTGTTGTGAACAAGTTGGTACATTTTATATACACATTATGGCATATGTGGAGTTAAACACTGAAATCCTAGAATATGGTGGCTTGGTACGTTCTGAGAAGGGTTTTTGTACTGGAACAACCACATTGATATTGGCAGGAATTTGTCACTGAAGTAAAAAAAATTTGCTTTAAAACTATAATAACAATTACCCTGAAGTTCATCCAAGTCCTTGAAGAGCCCCGGTACAAATAGTGGTTGTGCCTTTCATGTATTCTGTTCCAAGCAGTGGTAGGTCTGTGCTGGGATGCAGACTGCTGTTGCAACATCTGTATTGTAGCACAGACAACCCTAATTGTTCCTTAGGACTATGTTAGGCTGAAGGGCAGTGGTTATACCCAGCCTACAACAGTATTTTCTAAACAGAAATATAGGGAGGATTTTTTTTCTTTCTGAATCTTTCATTCACTGACCCGTGTACAGCTTTTAATAGCACGGTTAAGTGTTTCATGCCTTTGCATTAAATTAAAAGCCACTTAAGGTGTGGTTTTGCATATTATGATTTTAAAACAGGTGGTGTCGCCGAGTGATAGGATCACATCTAACTATAAAACACTAATCTCTAATGTTCTAGCGTACTTTGCAATTAATCAGTTGGATTAGAGAATAAAGATTCTGCCAAAGCAGGCACAGGGACTACATCTCCAGCCATTCACGAGTTTTTTTGACCAAGTTTTTTGTGTCTTCTCTTCCATCTCTACTGGCGTATACCCTTTACTCTGAATGTCTGAGTCCTTACGGACAAGCCTCAGCTACTGTATATCCATACACACAAACAACCTGCCACCAACGTGTTTTTCTTCTTTGTTCCTTTATGTGGCAGAAAGTTTCCTTGATAACAGCAGGTCTAGAAAATGTTGCAAGTATCCCATTTTGGCTAAGTGCCATTTTTGGAGTCTGGTACTTCATGAACAATTTGGCTGAAAAACACAGCTGGGAATTCCAGGTGACGTGAAATTTTGTACATCTGGCCTTGGCTTCTGCTTTTTCTGCTGGGGTGTAAATTCATGGGAGCCACTGTGCAACTAATTCTCAATTATGTCAATGACAATGAGAGAGGAATTGGTTCTTTAAGATTTCAGTGTTGTTACATACTGAAATACCAAGAGTTAAAAATCCCATTTCTGTGTTTCTAGTGAAGCTACATTCTGTACTTCCAAAGGGATTTCTTACAAATCACTAGGTTGTTTCCTTTCCATCTTTCTGTCTGTACTCAGAGGACTGGAGGAAACTGGATTTCCAAACAGAGAACTACAAAAATGTATCAATGCTGTTTAAAAAATATTTCTAACATTGTTTTTCCATTACACCCAGTATAATCTAAAGAGAAGAAGGTCTAATGTAATCCAAAGGTTCTGCTGACACTTGCTCAGAGGGACCAGCAGTAACTACCTTCGGGTATTAATACTCACAAGTAACACGTTCACCCCCAAAGAATTTCAGTAAATCCTTCCAATCATCCTGTACTCTCAGGTGAAATTAGAGTATATTTTGTAGATTTTTTTTTTCTGGCAATTTGCACCCAAGAATGGCACTGAGTCCCTGCTGCTGTTCTTGTGGTTTTGTGTTTGCACTCTATCTGCTGCAATCCTGTTTCAGCTTATTTTTCTCGTGCTGGATTTTTCCTGGGGTTTTGTCGAGAGAAGTGCATAAATGACATCGTCATGACTGTGCCTTGGTGGGTGCTCAGTCCACAGCATCAAGGTTTCCATTAGAAAATCTGGGCTGCCTTCTGCCTAGTATGTGGGCTAATATAGAGAGTTTTTGCTTAAAGCCTTTCTGCTGGTTTTTTAGAGAGATTTTGTATGAATATCATGGTGAGCAGCAGCAGAGTTTCAGAGTGGTAAAGCATTTGAAGTATTATCACTGTATTCCCTTGTAGAGCTGTGAGTTGGGAAAGACGTTGTGACTTTAACCACGAATTTATCTGGTTTGGTGGGTTAAGTCGGTGACCCAGATAGGATTCATCCATTGTACAAAGTGATTCTCTTGGTGTCGTTTTTACTTCGGAGCTGGTAAATAAAGTGTCTGAAACTCTGACAATTTGATGCCTTTGCCAATCTTTAAATCAAAAATGGCTGAATCGATTTAAGGATTTTGTAAGAAAAAAAAAATTGCACCCAGGCTGACATCCTGTGGACTGAATTTCTCCCAAAGCGATTTCAAATATGTGAGTTATGGACCTCTATAATGAAAACTCTGACATATCTTGAACTATAGGAGAACACAGAGTAATGTACAGAAACATTGTGTTTTCCTTTCCTACAGTTAGTACTCTGTATCTGTTCCCAATTTTGGAAGCATTTCTATCTTACAGAAAATATCACAGCAAATTATTTTTCATTAAAAATTTTAATTGTTTTTGGTTGAAGTTTGTTTTAAGTCAAAATTCTGCAACTTTGCTTTATATAGTGCCTTCCGTCAGCAAATGTTAAGTCACTTTATAAAATATGTGACGTTTTCCTTTTTAGAAACAGAGACACTAATGCCCAGAGAAGTAAAGGGTTCTGACATCCCTCCCAATATTGTTTTATACTGTCTCATTTCTGGAACAATAAATGAATATGCCCTTTTATTGACTGTAATGCCTTGGGAACAGCTGAGAGATGGGAATTAATATCTGCTAACTTGTGATGGCTGATCATTCTCGAGAATTAGATGAAGCGTCTCGATGGACGTAGGTGTTGTTATTGTGGCAGTCCTGGGGACCGTGGCCCTATTGTACAGAGAGCTGTTAAGATGCAGAGAGCGTTTCTGAAGGAGTTTTAATGCCGATGGTAACAGAAAAGCAGTTGGTGTTCTCGTCTGCCTCCCAAAACAATGCTCACACGAATGTGTGTGCATCTGTCAACAAACATAAACCTCTTCTGAAGTTTGCGTACGCTGTTATCCGAAAAACAGCTACAAGAAAGAAGCCTCCAAATTAACTTTATTTTATGCAGAGCAGCTCGTAGTGGACTCTCCTGGCCCTCAAAGGACTCTTTTATCCTTCCCGCTGCCCGTAGTTCTTTTTGCCCCGTGGGAATCCCTTTGTACTCTTGATTCTTGAAACCGATACGTTTCCTCTGATCTGACATCAGAGTGTTTCAGCAAAAATAATTTCCTTTTCCTCCAAGAGCTTGAAACTTGGAATCTACTATAGATCTTGTGGAACTTAAAAATACAGAAGTCCATCACTGAAGGTTGCCTTCTGAAACTCTTCTGACATTATTGCTAAATAAATAAAGCTTGTTTTGAGTAATGTTGACTTGAATTGCTCGGCCACACAAGTCAGAGGTCACGCAGAAGTCCCCAGGCTGTTCCCCCAGCTGCTCCACAGCCGTTCACCCTTCAGTCCTCTTACTTTGTAAAAACTCCCCATCCAAGCAGCATTCTCTAAGTGTACTACAGATTAAAGTAGAAGATCTAACTCTTTGACTTAGTTTCCCAAATTCTGGCTCCAGATCCAGGGAACATTACAAGGTATTATTCTAACTCAAGCAAGCTCCTGACTTATTTTTCCTAAAAATCTTGCTGAATCACAGAACTATACCTGTGGTTGATTTTTTTTTTTTTTTTTTTTTTTTTTTTTGCTGCCTCTGTTGTTACCTTTCAGCAGAAAATTAGTCCAAAAGTGGTAAATTGGGAGTGTTGGCCCTGCTGTTTGCCCAGGGTCCCCTACCTCCCAGTACAGGCAGTGGCCACCTGTTCAGCAGCTGGTTCCTGAGCTTGGGAACAACCAACATGCCAGTCTTGGTTGGCATCTCCCATTTCCTTGTAGGCTGCACCCATTGTTCCTACCAGGGAGAGCATTCAGAACCAGAAAGCTGTCTCCTGGGATCTCCTGGGATGGCTTTCGAGGGGCTTGCCATAGCGCTGGGCACAGAGAATGTTTTGCTGCTTCTCAATCAGTAAAAGCTCCTTAATATTTCCACCTTTGTAGCCAGCTGGTAAATGTCCATCTGCCAAACAGCTGGGGGGGTTGGACACCTCTCAAGCTGGAGTCAATGTCAATTGTTCACAACCCTGCGGGCCTCTGGGTCTGAACCATGTGGTCCTTAATGTGTATTAATGACCTGCCTGCTGCTGCATAACCATTGAAATCTGTGGTCTTTTTTTTTTTTTTTTTTTTTTGCTTGGCAAGAAATATTTTCAAAAGCTCTTACTGTTCTTAGAATACAGAAAGATGACTAACTCACCACTGGGGATTGTTTGCAGCTCCAAAGCACCGTGGATTGTTGCTGTACAATTATGGCAGCACTTTGAGGTGATGCTGTTAAGAGCAAGTTTTGCAAAAATAAGCATTTACTGTAGACTTTCTACAGGATTAATCGAAAACTCTTTTAAGAAAAAGTGTTCTATGTTTCCTTGACTGAAATCAACCCTCTCATCCTTTGTTCACGTTGGGTTGGGGTTTTTTTAATTCTCTTTACCATCACTTTGTTCTCTGGGCTCAGTTTTTTTACCACACAGACCCTGTCTCAACTTGCTTCCTTCAGGCTTCTGCATCTATGGACTTTACGGAGCTCAGCTGGGACTGAGAATTTTAAAAGACCCATAATCTCCACTGATGTCTATTTTATACGTTGTTTGGTGTGTGGCAGTGTCCTTGATAACCAACAAGACCCAAATGCCCATCAAGACCTGTGCGACCGCATCCCTCTATGAAAGCAGTCCTCTGCCAGGGAGATCACAGAGGCTTCTTTTCACAGTGCAATGCAGAACTTATTTCTTTGGCCTAATTTTCCTTGTGTCATTTCTTCATGCACAAACATAAATATGCAGCACATCAACTCCTGAGTGAGGGAAGAACTAAAACATCTATAAATAAATCAGGCTGTGTCTCCTGGAGGGAAAAAAAAAAATAAAAGAGTGAATGAAACCTAATTTTCTATTTGAAATACTTGGGATATGCTAGATACTTTAGGCTACATTGCCTGTTGAGTGCTTTGACAGTGTTTATGGCTGTACCTAGTATACAGAACTCGTAAGGGATCTGTTTAAAAGAGATCAAAGGAAGTCGCTCTTTACACAGTGGGTTGTGGGCTTCTGGAATTTATTGCCACAGCAGTCTGTGGGAGTAGATTGTGTCAGTAGGTTAAAAAAGGACTAGGCATCTTCCTGGATATTAGGTCTGTAAATAGACACTAAAGGGAGTACCACGGACACCCCTCAGCCCATGGTTGTGGGTACCAGGGTAGGGCGAGGGAGCTGGACTGCTGGTGCTGCCCTGTGTGCCAGAGTCAATGTGTGTGGTGCTGGGGTCTTGTCTAAGATCCCCTGTGTTCCAGCACTTGAGACTCTCCAAAGTAAAGCCCAGCCATTTACCACCTCTCTTCTGCCTCCTCCGCATCCTACTGTGGCTCTGCACACAACCCTGCCTACTGGCGCTGCACCTTCCAGGGTCCCAGGGCAGGCTCTGGTCCTTACCTTGTTGACTGCCTTTTAAGTCCCAGATCATTTTCATTTTATTTCCAAAAAGCTGTACAGAAAGTAATGCTCTCAGATTCTCATCGCTGTTTGTCCCTTCGAACTCTGCTGTAACTGACGGACTGTGCTGAGCAACATGTTGTGATTAATTAATACAAAGGATTGCACGTGGAAAATCTTGGTCTAAGTGCAGGGCAGTAGATGAGGTTAAAACACTTTTGTTCTTTGACTTTGTTCTTCTTTCTCTGTCTTCATTTCTGTGGCATTTTGCCTCCATTGAGACTTACTTAGTATGCATCAGTTCCCGCAAGTTATTATCGAGGCTATTTTTCATTTTGTTTTATTACTACTTGATACTTTTGTATTGTGGCAGCAAGATTGAACAGGACATTAACTCTCTCATGGTGTTTTTTGGAATAGATCTTATCAGAAAATCCCAGCGAAGTCCCAACAGGTCCAAGGAAACCTGGCCCACTTGGCTGTGCTGTCCCTTTGCAAATAACTAGTGCCTTGTCATATAAAAATTAATAGTAGCTGGATAATATGGACTTAAAAGCATTTGATCTTCCACTGCTGTAATGACACACTGAAGAAGAGGTTATATGTGTGTGTCTTTGTATGCACATATATATAGTCTGCTTTGTGTTCCTTCTCACCTTTCCCATCCACAGGTTGGGGTACTGGGGGATGAAGAGGAGTGGGTGACTCTTCGTGAGGTGGAGAATGAACCTGATGCTCAGATGCTGGAGGTACCGAACCTTACTCCTTACACTCATTACAGGTAAGAACAGCGGGTAATTAGGTGTAGCATGAAAAAAAAGTGAGTAAATAGCAGCATGGAACAGCTTTCCTAATCAGAAACAGCTGTCTGTGTTTTCTAATCTGAACAAAAGGGGAAAGGTTGGCTGTTTTCATAGTTTATACTTAAAATTACTTGTCTGATATTGTTAATTGTAATTTACATACACTGCAGTTTGTAAGATTAAAAGGGATATCCAAGTGCACAGTGAAATGCTTTTATGGGGAACTGATAGGCTGTGACTTCCCTCATCTAAATGGCGCAGCAGTGTAGCATCCATCAGTGACAAATCAATTGTAGTTAAACTGTTGCAAACTTGTAATTACATATTTACATCAGTTTAAACATCGTTTTATCGATTTAGCTTAATTTGGCAACATCAGTTAGATGAAACCTTTGTTTATAAGAATTTACCAACTTAAGCTTAATAGGTATATGCACTGCTTAAACTGATTGAACTGGGTCTACCTTATGGGTACACCCCAGTTAAATGAGATTGATTTTTAAATCAATTCAATTCAAGTGATGCGTTGCTTTAGTATAGACAAGACTTGAGAATTTGAGGTACTCAATCCTAATGAAAAATACTTTCATGAAATAGCTTGCTAATGTAAAGGGTGGTTGCAAGGACATACAGTGTTAAATCAGCTTACTAGAAACTTGTCTATTTTTCAGCTAGCCCCGGTGCTGTTGTGGGCTAGTAGTAGGTACAACCAAGTAAAGCTCAACTAATTCACTGCTGGTACACTAATTTCTTCCCTTAGCAGAAGCCTAGGAGCATCCTGAATTCCTCACAAACTCTCCATTTGTGTTTCACGCCTCATCCTCAAGAGCGAAACATTTTACTAAAAGCTCTTTGAAAATTATGGAACCTCAGCAGAGCTTTCTGGTGCAGAGGTTTAGGAAAAATAGGTTGAGAAGGTTTTGCTCTCATAAAGGTGGACCCTTAAAGCTGAAAAGCCAAAGTGCAGGTTGTACTAGAGTTCGATGTTCAGTGTTCATGCAAAAAGAAAAAGACCTGCACACCTCGCAGGTGCAGTTATGCTGGTTGGCACTGGCACCTTCCATACTTCCAGTTCTCCTCTGATTGTTTTCACCATAATTTGTAGACTAAAGCAGCTCCTTGAACTTTGCCCATTTTTTTTTCTTTCATGCATACACAGATACGAGCCTTTTTAAAATTTTGTTTCAGCATAGAGCAATTTTATATAATTTTTTGAAACCTAGGAAGTTCTTGCCAAATGGATTTGTGGTCCTCCAGTCAGCTTTAGGCATTGCCCACGGAGGAAATATGTCACGAAAGCTAATTATCAGAACGCATTTTTCACGGCCAGCTTCTTTTCTGTATTTTGTGCCAATGCTTGAGAGTGAAATCAAGGACAGTATTTGTTCAATGTGTTTCCTTTAATGCGTTTTCTAGGGAGATCAGAGCTGATACATAAACGCTGCTGTGTTGACTAGCTCACACTTTTTCCAAGCTCAGTCATTAGGTCCAAAAATTAAGTGCTGAGTACGAACAGGTCACGTATTTGTGTGCAAATGCTGGACACCTCTAATTGCTTGTGACGGCTGAGAGCATCTGAAATGTACAGCACGTCTTAATTATTTTGTGCTTCTTGAAAAAAAAAGATTTCTCTAAATCTTTTGTGACCCAGTAGGGATTTCTGTTGTAGAAGAGATGGTTTCAAGCAGACATGGTATTTTTTTGAAGACGCATATCCATATTAAATATAAATATTAAATCTTTCTTGTGCAGGAAGGCTGAAAATGAAAGACGCATATCCATATTAAATAACTTAATCTTTCTTGTGCAGGAAGGCTGAAAATGCAGCACAGGGATAAATCAGCTTCTTTCAACCAGTAATTGAGGGGAAATGTTATCGCTAGTATATTTTTTATATTGACAGGGAATGAGAATATCCAAAGTTTGATATTTTAATACCTTTCTAAATGTATTGTACAAGCATCGCAAGAGAAAATCACTTACTGCTAGCATAAGCTCATCAGGCTTGGTATAATTAACATAAATTTCTCACACAAATACCTAAGTTTCTAATAGACCCTAAGCTAATCTCATTTTCATTTTTTTTAATACCTGAGAGGATCCGAAAGCGGTTACCGTAAAGCCTTCAGCAGTGAATGCAAAGGGGACCTGCATGTAAAAAACCTTTGTGGAACATTTTGAAACACATAATTTGTATTTTTTCCATTTTTTTCCTGTTCTGGAAAGAGAGTTACCATTTGCTGAGCTCTGACAGCATGCACTGCATCTTTCCTCCGCTCCAGGTTCCGGATGCGGCAGGTGAACGTGGTGGGTCCCAGCCCGCTCAGCCAGCCCTCCCGTGTCATCCAGACGCTGCAGGCTCCGCCAGACGTGTCCCCTGGGAGCGTCACCGTGCGCACGGCCAGCGAGACCAGCCTGTGGCTGCGATGGGTGGGGAGCTGGCGGGGGGAACGGGGCG